ATGGGTATTCATTTTAGTATGCATTTTAGATATCCACTTGAATGGATATCGTGACTGGTATGTCGACGATACCCAGTGTTAGGATATTATGACATCTCTGCACTAGTATCACTCTAGATTTTGTTTCTCAAAACGTTGTTTTAATTTCAATATTTTTATGCCATTTTGTAGCGTTTGAAATTCTCTATCGAATGCTATGTTGAAATATACTTTTGAATATCAACATAAAACTGAAAACACAACTGAAAGTCATTGGAGTGTAAATAAAAGCTGTCTACACCCTAGTATTCACTACAAAATGGTACGCAAATAGAGGTGTCAACCGTGCGGCTGAACCGCCGTGGTAGCCGAGTTTTCTATAATATCAGCCACCACCGCCATCAAACTGCTGGTAATTTTAAGAATTTTTGGGGAGCCGCCGCTGCGAAAAAACAAGTTTAGCCGTTGCGCCGCTGCAAGGGATAAAAATTTTTGGTAACATCATTCACCGCCGCTGACATCAATACATATGCGACCGAATCGAACATTTTTCTTTTAATTTCCATCAGCGAATTTTTAACTCAGCCGCCGCCGTCACATAAGAGCTTGCAAATATCAACCGATGCCGCCGCTGTGGAAAAAAATTTAAGAATTTATAGCAGCCGCCGCTGAAGACATTATTCATTCAAATAACGAGCCGCTGGAAATCTTTAAAAATTGAAAATTTTTGCCCGCCCCCGCCGTTCAACCCTTCGGCTGACACCTCTATACGCAAAGATTTTTCTTTCAAGCTCGTTTAAAATGTGTCAGATAGAGGGAAGAATTCTCAATCGATTCATATCTAAAAATTTTTGTTTCGCTTTTACTTTATGTGCAGAGTCAGTTTAATACTAGATGCGCCCAGGGGTGAGTTTTTAATAAAAAATCTGGTCTTGATTTGATTATAATTCGGGATAGACAAATCAGAAAAACGTAAAAACTGGAGGATATACGTAAAAAAATATGCTCGATCAGATGAGCCTACTAAATCGAAAAACCAGAAACCGCGAGCCCCCCTTAAGAATCACTTTTTTGTTTAAACTCGAAAAAAATTCGAAAAACGGTCTATTTGTTATACGTATTTTTACATTGAATATTTTCGATGATGTGATGAATGATATCAACTCGTTCCATCTATAAACGATCTTTGCTATTAGCTCTATTCTTTCAACTGACGCGCCTATACTTATGGAATGAGAGTTTTTAACGAAATAAGCATAACCAGTGTTTCCAACATAACTAACATTGCTTTTAACCCATCAATTGAATGAAATCGATAGAACTATCACTTCTGCACATATGCATTGTATTTCTTCATTCTTAAACTGATTTCTTTAATTACAAGACAGTGATCTGTGAAGCAAGGTAAAACAAGTCGTCGTCGGGTCGGGAGCTGTCTCTTTTTTATTCGGAGAACATTTTTATGGGAAACAAACCTCATATTCGTGATCAGCGTACTGAATAAGCTATGTCTAGATCAAACTTCGGAAAAAAAGAGAAAAAAAAATTTGGTTTTCGGGAGGGTGACCAACGGAAAATGATTTTGCAAAAAAACAAAACATTTTTATTTTCCAAAAGAAAGTACACTATTTTGTTCAGAATTTTATACTGATTCCAACCAGGTAACTATTTTTTCAGAAAATAGTTCGGTCGAAAAATGACCTTACCGCCACTTGTCTTTTCTCGAAAAACAAGACAGTACGGTTTAGTATTTTTTCGATAAATCCCTTAAAATCGAACCTTTTTAAAAAAACCTATATATATTCTGAAAGAGGAGACTTTGAGGCATCTACCCGTGATAAAAACTCAAACTTTAATCTTTTCGAAAAAATCGACTTTTTTAAGGGGTGGGGGTCCCCCTAACGAAAGGCACACATCTAAGCTCACATCGACACTCACCCACATCCTAGAAACGAATCTATTGAAAATAAATATTATTTTTGTTTTTAAATAAAATTTAGATAAACGTTGGGAAAAGGCTTGCCAAGAAAAAAATACAAGTTTACATTTAATTAAATCAATGGAACTTGATTTAGATGTTGGTAAATGTATTTATAGTGATGATGCTGTTTTACCTGCGTAGATTTTTTTTGTTTATTAATAAAACTTTTAATAGGCGTTAGAAGGAGTTATACATGTTTCATATGATATAATTATTCTTCCTTTTCTATTCTTTCGATGTTTGAATTTTTCATTCAGAAAAACAAAAATGGTATGTTTAATCGTGTTTCGGTAGCTCAATGGTAAGAGCACTGGTCCGGTTAACCAGCTGTTTGTGTCTTGGGTTCAATTCCCGAACGAAGCATATCATTTTGTTTTTCTGAATGAAAAATTCAAACATCGAAAGAATAGAAAAGGAAGAATAATTATATGATATGAAACACGTAATAAACCTTTTAATACATCTTTATTTTATATTAGTTGGAAAGTTGCTGGAAGCCTTCCTAATGTAGAATTACGTTTATCAGATAAACGTTTATGTCAAATAATAAATAATATTCAATTAATTCCATTTCCTGAATCAAAAAATCCAGTTATTCTTGGACCACCGATAGAACCAGAAGTTTGTTTAGTTGAATTTTTGAGTTGAGAAAAATATTCATTTTATTAATTTTAGTCGACACTAATACAATCTTTATCGAATAATCCTGAACAAACATTAGAAGCAGTTGAAGGAATGATACCAGTTAAGAAAACTAAAGAAAAAGTTGAAGCAGAAGAAAATAAAGTAAAAGAAATTAATAATACAGATACAAATGAAAAAAAAATGTGAAGGTCAATTAACATAATTAGAAGCAATATTTACACTTGATAAAGTAAAATTTTTTATTTTTATTGTTTAAGGTTAGATTTACATATTGATGAAGGTGCAAATGAAAATAATGAAGATAAACCATTTTTTCGTTTAACACTCGAATCGATCGTTGCTAAAACAAAAATAAAAACTTTTGATATGGAATTTGATGCATCATTAGCTAATTCAGTTGTCTATCATGAACAATTTATTGGCAAAGATAATCAACAATTACGTTTATTATCAGCTCAATTAGAACAAATAAATAATGATGAAAATCAAAAATTAGTTAGTTTGAATTTTCTTCATACATCATCAGAAAATCCATTATTTTTATCGCCAACTTATAATGGAATTGAAAATAGAGCTCATGTTCATTTTAGTAAACTTGCTGTTACATTATAATTAGAAGCACTTTTATCAATATTAAAATTTCAAGATTCATTAATGAAAAAATTACCACAAGAGACATCAGAAGATCAAGCAAAAGCGAAACAAGAAGCAGAAATTCAAAAAAATGTGGAAACTTCGGATTTCATCCGAGAGTTACGTGTACTGCAAAAAGTGCATGGGACATATGAGTCATTCTAGAATGTCTGAACACCAAAATCGTCATGAGAAACTAGGCAATTTGATTTCTGGATGCAGTTTTTGTGCAATTTTGAGACGTTTTCCAAGCGATGTTTCATTAGAAAGCTACAATTTAGTTCAAAACTAATATCAGATTCGGAATCAGCGTTAAAAACTGAGTCGATTTATATATGTTGTAAATAANAGATTTATTTTTTGAAAACAAATTCCCTGTACTCCCCCTCAAGGATGGCCTGGTCAAAAATGACAATTTTTTCGATAACTCAACCATTTCTTGAAGGATCTTTCTCATCTTCGAACTCGACTGAGACATTGATGAGGCTGAACTGTGTAGAAAATTTCATCATGATCTAACTCTCCTTTCGAAAGTTATCGTGTAAACAGACGGACAGACACGCTGACCGATTCTAGAGTGTACTCACTTTTTGAGTACACAACAACAAGAACAAAAGAATGCTGAAGATAATAAAAGTAGTGATACAACTGGAAAAATTGTCAAAAAAAATGGTGAGCACTCTATTCAATCGTGACGGAATCACCTGCGACGTTTTTTTGATTTTGTTTTCCAAAAATCTCAAGAGAATGAAAGGGGATGAAGCTAAAAATTTCAGAATAGAAACAAATCAAACAACCTGAAACTTTCACAATAAATTATTCTCGTTAAGATCTCTATCTGTACTCAATTTCAAATCGAAAATTAATTTTTCTAATGTGCTCCTCAAGGAGATCATAGCATCGGCTTAATAAATATCCTAAGCATGCAGTGTGCCGGCAGGAATATGAGAACAGTCCGAAGTCGTCTACGAGTATTCATATAACCCATTAAATTCTTCATGATGCACATAGTCCCAATTTAAAAGCAATTAGTGAGATCTATAGAGCAGATGATGCGTCGTATTTTGGAAAAAATAAAAATTTGAAAAGTATCAAAAAGAATATCTTTGTAAGAAATGGGCATGACTTCCTCAACATTTATTTCTTCAGACGATTCACTTTAGTTTGTCACAAAAAAAAACAACAGAAATCAGTTGTTTAAAACTATTTTTCATCATCCTTCCGATAACAAAAACAAAACGTTCCCTTCAATCAATCCTAGGCATGAAAATAGCTCGGAACTATCATAAGTCAATTTTAGAATTAGAGAGTGAGATTCTAAAATCTCATTGCCAATCTAAACATATGTCTCAATAACAATATACAAGATGCATTTTCTACTGAAGCTGAAATTTTCATAAATAAAAAAAATCAAGTAGTTCTTTGAAGAGAGCGTAGAAAAGAAACGTTAGAGTACTCTTTCACAGAATCAAAAATATCTTGTTTTTGATTAAAAATGAGTCAAAAGGTATTTTCATGACGGATTCATCTTCATAAATAGGTTAGATCACTTAACATGTTGAAAAAATCTACTCCAACTAGTTTCAGAACATGTGATCGACTTTAATAAAAATCATGTTTGTTTATATGAAAAATCAGAAAATAAAAAGACATAGAGCCTATTGATTGCTACGGACTCTGAGTGATGCCTCTTTACTAAAATTTTTCTCTACGATATACGAAGCAACATAGATAAAAAGAAATTCCACTTTTATATGCTGTCGACAATTGTTGACTTCTTCCGAAACGCCAACTTTATTGTTTTTTAGATGTTCCAGCAGGACTGTCACTTAAAATTGATGCCGATTTAGAAGAATTTCGAATAATCCTTGCATCAAAACAAGCAAAATTATTTGATATACAAGTTCAAGGTTAGAAAGAAAAAAAACGTTTTTGTTTTCTTTCATAATTCTGATTTAATTATATTCAGGTGTCAAAGCTTATGTATCACAAGCACCAGAGAAGACTTTAGTCAATTTAATTCTATCTGATTTACTACGTGTTTTAGATCCATATAAAGATGCATGATATCGAAAAGTATGAAATTTTCTAATGCCAAATAATTATTTATTTCTATTTTCTACATTTATTAAGATTATTTCTCAACAAGGCGATAATAAAGAACTACTTCGGGTTGATTTATCTTTATTTAATTATCCTGAAGGATTTGAAAAATCTATTGATACTTTTGATTGTGATGTTAAAGTTCAATTTGCTAAAGCAAATATTATTTTTCTATTTAAACATATCGATGCAATTTTGGTAAAGAATTTTAAAAAAACGTAAACTTTTTTCTTAATTTTACGTTTTTATTTCCAAGGGTTTTCTTGATTCATTAAATATAATCAAAGCAGCACTTATTATAGCATCAACACAAGCTGATGCAGCTTTTGAACAAGAGCAAGCATTTAAAGTTCATCTTGATATAGCGTTTAATGCGCAAAAGATTATTATTTCAACAAATTCATATTCTGATCAAGCACTTTTTCTTGATTTAGGTAAATTAATATTAAAAACAACTTTTCATGATGATCCAAAAAGATGTCTTGTTGAACGACAAAATGTTCGTTTGAAAAATATTCTTGCTAGTCGTGTTAAATTCGATCGAGACTGTAACATCATTGGTGAAGCTACTTTACTCGAATGTACTGAATTAAATACATTAATTAATCGTTTACTTTATCCAGAAAAAGTTAAAGCTGAACCCGCAGTTTCAATTAAGGTTGACTGGAAATTAGTTCATGTAAGTTTTGAGAAATCACTTTTCGTTTTGTATGGTTTGTTTGAATAGTTTCGATTAGCAAAAGATGGTTATTCATGTGTTATGAGAATTTTAATGGAAAATTTTTCGGAAAATATTCGTTATCAAATACCTGAAGGTTTCAAAATGAACAATATCGTTATAGAGAAGAATACAAAGAAGAAGAAGATGAAAAATTAAGAAATACTGTTAAGAAACAAAAAGGTTGGTCAATTGAATTTTTTTATTTATGAAAAATAAATCATTGAATTATGATATTTTTTAGAGTTCCATACTGATGAAATATTACCAACACTTAGGCTTCGAGCGGAAATAAAAAAATTGGCATTGAAACTTTATTTTGGAGGATCCGATTTGGTTAGTTTTATTTAGTTTTGTTTTCTCAAGGTTTGGGCGTTATGTTGATTATTAGAAATCGTCTTGCATTTATATCATATATGAATCCTCAACAGACTTTCAGCGTGTTATTGTAGTTGATGATCACTTATTTCCTAAAAAAGTGGCCAAAACACAAAATTCGCCCAACTTTAGCAAAAAAAAACTTTCAATTAGTCTCGTAATTCACCGAACCCTCATCATGACACACTTAACTTTATATAGAATCGTTCCGTTGGTATTGATCTATTTCACATTGTCAATTGGAAGCTCATCGATTTCGTATTGATATATGTCATAGATCATTACAAATATTTCATCGCCTGTTTGTTTTTGGATAGATTGTAACAGAGAAAATGTTTTTATCGATCTATGAACGATAAGAGGAGACAATAGTTTGCTAGTTCGAATTCATTTTTATTTAAATATCCGTATGCACTTATACTCATTTCCAAATGGTCTAAGTAACCATGAGTAAATGATTTCTATTGTTATTAGAGTATTATAATCACTGTAAGTTTTATTAGTCTGCATTGCGACTTATCAATTGAGAGTAAAGATAAACTCTACGTTTATGATAGTGGAAAAAATTAATAATAAACCTGATCTAATAATTTATTTCGAGCTTCTGTATATGATAATTCATGCGTAAATTGAAACATTACATGTAATACTATGTAATATTATGGCTAGATTTTTTTATTCATCAATATGAAACAGAGTTCGAATTAAAGTGATATCGCTATACTATCCATATTTCAGAGACAATTTTAACTTTAAAATTGAATATAAAATTCTCTTCTCAGCATAATTGATAATATATTTTGTTAGAGTGTTCGTCGTGAACCACGCAATGCTAATTTAAAATTAGCCAATGTTCAAATTGAAATACTTGAAGCATTGTTTCGTCAAAATTCTGATGGAAGTTATAAAGCAACAGCAAATGTAAAAAATTTCTTACTTGATGATTTACGTGAAACAAATAAATCAACAAGTGTAACACGTATGATGAATAGACATTTTACAGTGGATCCTAATACTCATATGTTTGTTGCATCATTTGACTTCAAACCAAAAAATCAATCACGTCCAACAGCATTTCGACAATGTAAGAAAGCAATTTTGAATTGAAGTATTTTTTCAATTCATTCTTTATTGTTAGTGACTGCCCAACTCGAAAGTCTTTATATTTGTATAAGTTTGGATTATTTAATGACATTACAAGACTTTTTCATCTCTGGTTTACCATCGGCTAATGTTGAAACACAACAAAAAGCTGAACAACCATCAATAACAACAACCGATCAATCAGAAAATGATCAAAATCGATAGAAAAATCGATAAAAAGCCAACATCTACTTCTTCAAAAACATCTACAACATCATCAAAACGTATTAAATATTTTCTTTTTAGCTACGACAACTAAAGCCACAACTGCTCCTAATCAAGATGTAGAAGTTGAAACTCGTATAGATGTTAGTGTAAAAAACCCTGAAATAATTTTACTTGAAGATCAACATAATATTAAAATACATCGGTCAACCAAATCAAGATATTGAAGAAACGATGAGACAAGTTTCTTATGATGTAAACAATGAAGCAAATGGTTTTGCAAGTGCCCTATCAATCAACCTCGCTCACAGAGAAAATCTATTTTGTAACCGCTAGTACTCAAGGTAATCAGATTTCCTTTTGCAGTTTGAAAAAATATAAAACAGCTTAATATTACTTGTATTCTACATTTTTCTCAATTTCTTTTTATTTCGTTTAAAGCACAGGAAAATCAATTCTATAGTTTTTCGCTGACTCGATAGCAAACACTTCAATTAGATATAAATAAATTCGACTAGATAGATAGATAGATATTTTCAATACCTTTTGTTTTAGAATATAATTACCTTCCTTAATGGACGTTAAACATGAGAATCAGTTAACTGTGACAGAGTTATGAGTCGGCTAGTAGATATTTTTTGTTCTTCAATCAATATATATTTTCCATTTTTACTAACTAAACCTCAGGTTTTAATTTAAAGACATATGATCGAATATATATATATATATATTTGAATAAATTGGCGAATTGTTATACAATGTTAGTCAACAGCTTGGTTGAAAACCATAATATCTGAATCAACTCAACCTAAACTTCAATCTACTGATATTAATATTTTGTTGGTGAGTGAAGTCGGTAGTGGAAAAAAGACATTTATTAATGCATTTTCAAACTATCTTACCTACGATACACTTGATTCAGCATCAGATGGAGAAATACAAGTGGTAAAACTATTTGAATTTTTCATTTTTGACCCAACAACACAGAAAGAATTTAAGACATCCTTCGGTGCTTCAAATAGAAATATCCTGTCTAATGATCATCAGATTATGCTTAAGCAAAGCTGCCAAACTTATAATTTTACTGTTGCAAAACGTTCACTACGTCTTATTGATACGCCGTCGATGTGTGACAATGGTAACATGTTTGAATACATAAAAAACATCGAACACATTTTTATGTATATTAGCCAATATAAACATTTAAATGGTATCTGTTTCTTGCTAAAATCAGATGAATCTGAATTGTGTATGATATATCGATATTGTATTAAAGAGTTACTCTCCTACTTTCATATTGGTATTTATTCAAACATCGTATGGGTATTTAGCAATGCGAGGGAATCCTTTTTGAGGCCTGGAAACACACTTATTCTACTTAGACATTTATTTAAAGATACAATAAGCATCGATTATAAATTCACAAGTGAAAACTGTTTTCTGTTGGGCAACGAAGATTTTCGTTTGTTAGCTTTATACAAAAGTCATAGAAAATGCGCAAGAACTTTTTTTATTAGATTATGGAGAAAGCTGGAATAGAAAGACAAACACATTGTTTCGTTTACTCTGTAATATTCTCTCTTCGAAGTCGGCTCGATTATGTGAAACTGTTTTCTTATATATAGTTCGGCAAATCACGTACAAAACTTACTGAAATCATAAGAAATGACTTGTCATCTCAATGATCTGTAACGTCACTTAATACGCCTGATGTTTATTCAAATTTTGAAAAAGTATTCATACATGATATATGTATTCAATTGTGACAATTTATTAAATAACACGTCATTCTACCATCCAATAACGAGATTTACAAAGGTTATGAAGTTTTTCAGTATCCTAATCGACTGGATCAAGAAAAGATCAAACTTTGCAAGAATATAATTGCCAAACATGGCGATTTAAAAAACTATTAACTACCAATAATTATAAGCAGCTAGATCCCTCATCACAAATGCATAGAATTTTGAAGTCGTCGCACGATATATTTTTGCATTACCTATCAATGGCATACATATCCGACAATATATTAAAAGTTTGGAAATATCTCAGAGAAATATGACTGCACAAAGAGCGAATGTTGTCAGGCTACCAGCAAGTGCTCAATCATCAGCTTTGATGAAAAAGTTACGTATTGTAATTGAACAAACGCAGTACTGATAAGTTGAATAAATTCTCTTTTCAAAACATTTCACTGTCGTCCTAAAATTGTTAATCCTAAAACGAAACGATATCGTTCTTTACTTTTGTTTGATCTATTTCTTAAACAATCTTGAGCGAGGGTGTGACTGTTGGAACCTCCGATTGAAACCCATCTGTACACTCTCTATTCAATATTCTAAGAGTAATTACACAATCTAGAAAATAATTAATATAAGAATGATAATGAAAATGAAAATGAATACTTGCAACGAGATAATAGCTTATCAGAAGCATGAATGTCACCGATAAAGATGGCTTCAATTTTATCTATGCTTTCGTTGTATTTGATCAACAAGTCTGTGCTGTTCCTACATCCTTAATACAAACTTTTCTGCTGGTTGTTCGTGATAAGCGGATATCTGCTCGAACAATGAATAACTCATAATATTCCGATCATATATCATTGTCAGTGCGTCACATTGTGGAGGAAAGATCATTGGATATACTAGCGAAGCAAACGTAAAATCACCTGCTGTCGGATATGCCGTTTTTGTAAGTTATAATCCACCGTTTTCTTCTAAATTCTTATTCACTTTTTCAAAAACTTCATCAATGTGTTGTTTTGAGACAAGACTAGGTTGCTCTTCAATATTCATCCCTTTTATTGCTAATGCTTTGATTGAACCGAGTAGATGCTGTTGAATTCATTTTTCAAAACCCATCGTTTCACGTAACCAGCAATTACTTGATTCATTTTCTATATCATCTGCCTGAAATAGCAGCCAATAATCATAGCGACGTACGTGCACACCAAGTATCTGATTGAAATAGCTCTCTAATTCTTCTACTTCATGAATTGGGTAAAGTGTTGGATTGTCTAGCTTACACAATTCATCACTAACGTAATGCATGATATTAGAAGAGTCTTTTAAAGCATTTTTATCTCATCTTATGTACACTGGTGTACTTGATGAAAATTCACTAGTGTGCCACAGAGATGTGACCATACGTGTTAGAATAGAGCGTGGACATTCAATATACTGATGAGAATCATTATGTAAATTTTCAGATTGTTCGCTACTAGATTTACGAGCTGATACATATTGTAGAAGGTCGAGCATCCATCTCGCTGTTTCACAATAGTGAGAAAATCGAGTAGTAATGAGTGTAGCTAAAGCATTTTTGCCATATTTTGTTCGAAAACATGAACTAACTGGTTGACAAAGACAAAATAATAAATAGGTCAACGCGCAACTTATACAAAATAAACGGTGAAAGGTTTGAAAAGGTAAGAAGAAACACGTACCAACAGGAAGATGATACCAACGTTGTCTCATCGTTCTAAAGACAGTACTATCTGTAAATTTAATTGTAAACTCTGAAGTAAGTAGTGTAACCTATGAAACAAAGAGTTATTGTAGAATTTGAATAAAACAAATAAAGCGAAGCAGAAGAATATCAGGATATTCTATTATACACAGTACACTAATAAATAAAATAAGTCTATGTTATATAATTGACGACAGAAAAGCAAAATCAACTATTTGGTTAAACGATCAGCCAATACGAGATGGAACTACAGTAGTTTCAAAAGATGACAGCAAACTTTGTACGGAGAAAATATTCCTTTGTATTGTTCATAGATTGTAGAATTGAGTATTTAAAGACATATGATGATGATAATAAAATGTTTATGAAATCAAATAAAAACTGATATTAGATTTGATCGATTTAGAATCATGTCTTGATGAGATACATCACATTTTAACGAATAATTCAATTCGGAATTCGATCATGATTGGTACACTAAAGTTAAAAGTCCATTTTACACTGCTTTTATTGTGTATTTAAATGAGTTGTTACAGCTTTTTCGATCATATTGATCTCTGTGAATTTGATGTATGAACTTAAAAACTATCTTTCACAATGTGGAGCATGATAGAAAGCGGATTTCTAAGGAGATTTTCAGAATATAATATAAAATATTACGTTAAAATAGGGTGTGGATGTTGAAACCGTAGATTGAAAACCAACTTCATACCCTTCGCCTACACCCAAACCCAAACCCAAACCCAAACATCTTTGATTCGGTGATCATAGGCGCCACTGAATACTTTCAAAATATCCAAAACAAAATAATCTACTGCTTCATAAAAATCATGAAGCAAATACATGAGAACATTCTTTTTTTCAAATTCGGGTAGTATATTAAGATTTACATATATATTAAGAAGCAGCACAATATCATCTCATTAATATTAGTTGGCTATTTCAGGAGAGAACAAAAGATGACGCATTGCACTTGCCCACTGTAGTCAAGAAAAAATGTTGTACTATGGAAATGTTTGAAATTATTTAAAATTTGAAAATTAATAAGTTTGAGCGACAATCGTCTGCTAGGCCGTTTCTGAGAACTAGTTCAACACATTTGTAATAGCCAGATCGATTATATGGGCTTAGTTTTCAGATTTATGTTTACTAAACGATAACGATGACTTTGTTTGTGACATCAAAAAAAAGGAGAAAATATGATATGAAGATGTTTTGCAATATGCATAATTGGATTTTGTCAAATTGTTTTTCTCATGAATTCAGCTTAAATAAATGATCTTCTAAAGTACATTCGTCTTCGTAATGAAAATAGAATAATGAGTCGTATCAAATTGTTGATGAAAACCTGACGATCGGCAACACATCATGTTGAGGATGCCCATAGTTCTTTCTTTTGTAGACAGTTCGTAAATGTACACAGTCAAAATTATTGATTTCTTTCATGAAGATCTTAAAACAAAAGAAACTTAAAAATTTTACTCTTCACTAAGACATGTTATGTGGATTTTTCACTATTACGTCATTTTCCAAAGATTTCGAGATTTTTACCACTTCGTTTCATTTTTTAATTAGATTTATACCTGTTGTCAACATTGGTTTTATGATAGACGAATGAAAATAGGAGCATACTTTTTTTATTTATTGCTTTTTTATTGGTATTGCATCACATATGGAAATTTCATCTTGCAGTCATTGCAAAATTTCCAATGTTGTGCAATATTCAATGATATATTTCTACAGAAATCCTATCTGCGATTAAAACACAACACAAGCGACTTCTTTCAATCGTAAGTACAAAATTATTTATTTTGGATGCACTAATTTTGTTTAGAATATAATAATTGTTCTCTCACGTGTCTAAATAAGCACTGCAGTATGAAACGCACTATTGAAACTCAAGTGCACTAATACATGCTATTAGTATTTCTATATATAGGGTCACTCATTTCTTAATTATTTTATCGTATTCTCAAAAACACCTATGAATACAGATATTCGAAAAAAACAATGTTCTCTTCAAAAGTTCATGAAATTAGTATCAAGTAGCATATAATGATGTGTTATTGATAGAATTTTCTAGTTTATGACGAGTTAACTCTATACTTTTTGGTACGAATTGAGATAATACGAGAGAAAACTAAACACAATTTAATTATACCTTAGAGATTTTCCAAATGCTCCATAAAATAAGCTTATTTAAATAAGAGATCTTTTTTCACTAGAAGCTTGGTGAGAGTGCATTGGATTGAATAGTTTCTTTATAACTAAATTAACTTTAGATTTTGTAAACTATTTTTTGTGGTTTTCTTAACCAATGGCTACATATTTCAAAACTCCATTTACTGTTGGTGGTGTTGAACATCATTACATTGAAGTTAAAGTACCAAAAGTCGATTCATCATCTGGTAAAAATATAATCTGTTGCGTCGATGTGTCAGGCTCAATGAGTGGCAGTCCCATTCGTAATGTTTGTGCAGTTTTAAAAGATATTTATCAACGTACAAAAGTTGAATATCCACTGTTCACTTATAATACAAGGGCAGACACGACAAAAACAATAAAATCTGTTGAGAACACAGATTTAGATGCAAATGGTGGTACTAGTTTCAGTTCAATTTTTACTGCTATTCAAAATCATTTAGTTAATAATCAAAAATCAACCACATTTATTTTTATGACTGATGGTCAAGATACTGATTCACAAGATGCATTGAAAAGAGCTATTCAAATGTTAAAATTATCAATCAGTGGACTATCAAAAACAATTACTATTATATTTCATGTCATTGGCTTTGGTGAAGTGAATAATAATTTTTTGGATCAAGTTCGAAAATTTGGCACGAAAGAAGGTTTATTTCGATATTCAACTCAATCAGCAGAATTGCAAAGTAATTTCAATGATATGTTTGAATATGCAATGTCGGCTAGAGAATTTACAATAGTTATTAATGGACAATCGTATACATCAAGTAGTAATGAAGAAACAGTGGGCTTTTTAATCGACAATATGACGATTGATAATACGAGAATTCAAGAAATTATATTTAAATCGCCGGATGGCGAATCAAAATTACCATTACAAGTTATGCAACCTATTCGTCCAATTCATGTTGTACGTGCATTAACTTTAGTTTCTCCAGATGACGAAGAATCCGTTCACCAAATTCGTACATATTTAAATTCAATTATTCCAACAGCAAGTGCTGATCTTATGGAAAAATTAGAATTAGAACAAATTAAAAAAGAAATTGACGAACGAATGATGGAATATACAAAATTATTTACACAAATTAAAATAGGACAAGTTCCAGAACAAGTCAAATTAAAGTTGAGTGCATTAAGACATGATGCTACATTTGCTAATGCACAGCGACGTAAAAAATTAGATTTACGTATCAATAAAAATGTCGATTATTTTCGGAAAACAGATATTAGTGGAATATTAGAGGGTTATAGAAAAAATATTGATCAAGAAGGTTGGAATAAAATAAAAGAACAGAAATCTGACTGGGTTTGTACATATTCTAGTGATGATATATATGAAATGATGAGAAAAACTTCGGATAATATTATGTGCTTAGGAATATTAATCGAACGTAATGAACAAGCCATTACATCACCAACAAAAGGATTAAAATTGATTAGTGTATCAAACACCTTGATTTCATATGATTCATTTATTGCTGCAATGACTTTGACGAAAAATTCACAACAGCAATTACAACAACAACAACAAGCGGATGATAGTAATTATGGATTGTTTGCTGGAATTAATGATACCTATTGTGTTGTTGGTCAATTACATGAAAAAATCAATGCCGTAATACCACTGTATATTAATTATGAACATATGAAACGTATACGTATTTTAGAAGGCATTTGGTTAGGATATATGTTTACTTTAGATTCATATGGTTATGATAAAGAACAAGAAATTGGTTTACTTAAACTACTATATGACATCATGATGTTACGTACTGGTACAACAAAAAATAAAAACTTGATAACTGAATTCGAAAAAGTCTGCCATTTTATTGTGACTGAATCCATCGGTTTTAAAAGTGCCTATGGTGAAAAAACCTATGAAAATTTTATTAACAGTATTCATGGACGACAAAATGGAACATATGATTCAAGTATTCCATTGATTATTGGACATTTGATAGGTGATTTAAAGACTATTCTAATACCAGTCTATTATGAATATCTCCGCCGATATTTACGCCAAAATTTGCCCACCGATAAAACTAATATTATCGAACGATTATTATATGGTGATGAAAGTCAAAGAGTTAAAACGGTTGCAAGTAGTCAAGACACAATTGGTATTGATATAAATCAGCAAGATCCTGATTTTGTTGAAAAAAGTTTCGTTCAATATTTTCATGATGAAATGTGTAAGCCAATCGAATTGATTCCAGAAACAGCCACAGGTAAAGATCGAAAATTAATCACTCATGAAGCTGAAGTTGAATATATTAAAAATATTTTGAAAACTATTGATAATGAAAATAGTTTCGGTGTGCCCGTTGTTATTAAAAATATGTTGAAATATTGTGATATGAATGAAAATTATGTTGAAAATATTATCGATTATGATGATTTACGAAAAGAATTATTAATGATTTTATATTTCGATCATACTGTACCAACAAATGTAACAAAATCAAATGTGTTGACTGTCATAGATGAAAGGATTCAAGGTAAATTCTCTATGAAAGAAAAAGAGATTTTTGCAATTCGTTCAACATTTATTTTCTTAATGATTGATTTTAGGTAATCGTGATAACTCCGTAACATTTAATTTTACATCTGAAACAATACGTATCGTTACATATAAGATTTTAAATGCCAAGACATTAGAAGGTTTCGGTGGTTTATTAAGAAAATATTGTCCAAAACGTTGTGGTCCAGTTTTTTCTGAAGTTATAAAAAATTTATTAGTTTTACCACAAAAAAATGAAACAGATCAAGATGCGAACGTTGTAACAAATAAAGATAAATTAGTAGCATTATTAACAAATCAAATTGGACATTCTCCATTATATAATAATGAAATGGCAAGTTTTTGTTGGCAACCATTAGCTGATGTAAATATTAGTCTCTTGGCTGAAATGATTGGTGAAAAGAAATTTAAGAAAATCGAAAAAGAGAACCTCGGTAAAAATGTCTTACACTGCTATAGAATAGTAAATAAATCAAATCGTCATGGTTATAGTAATTATAAGCCAAATATGAATAATATTTATAGATTTACTGGTTATCATGATCGATATTAATTCATCATTTTTATTTTCTGATCTATTAAACAAGAAAAATTAGATTTATCTATTGTTTCGAGTAATTATATTCGAATCAACACTTGCAATGGTATACTTTTTTTTAAAATTCATAACAAGATTATTTAACTTTACTGTAAGAGTCTAGAAAAATTCATATTGCCTGATTGAATTAGAAATAAATTCATTCGGTTTCACTCCATATATCAGTTGATTGATCTGTTATGTTAATTGATTTTGTGATGTTGGATTTTAGTGAGATTCTGTCTTACGCTATTTTGTTATAGATACATGGCTCATAACGATTCAAGGTATCTGCATTCATTAAAAGTTAGCTCAAAGATTACCTATTTTTATTATGAAAATCCACAGTTTCGTTTCAACTAAAGATTCATCATATTTCTTCATTTTCCTATTACGTACCTTCAAATCAATTTTTCATCCTAAAAACTCAATATGCCACATAGAAAACATAATTTTCTTTCCGACTAATTTTGCAATAAAGAATATCGAAGCTGTGAGTCAGAATCTGATTTCTCTAATTTCTCTATCATGAATACAATGAATGTAAGAAAATCAAGCAAAGTGATATTAAAATGGTAATTGCTCTACGCCACAGGTAACTTTTTCCATTTATTTATTTATGAAATAAACATTCAAGTACACAAGAGCAAGCATACAACTAAATAGATGAGTTATTCAGGCTTGACATTTAAGCATTTTTGAATCGAGCAAGTGGAAAATTTGGGCCTGGGCATGTGCGTCCAACGCTAAATTGGTCGTGTGTATAAATATTAATGCCTTTGTAACGACGTTTGATATCAGCAACTAATCGAATGCCCGCTTGAATTTGTACTTCAGGCATTACATTATTGTTTTGTATATTGCGACTGAATTCAATGCCCATACACCATAGATTTGGATTTGGACGACCATAAAACTGTGAGTTTGTTGTTACAACACCTAGAATAATTGACATAGAAAATTGTAATTTCAATATTCTCTAGGCTGAATTCGCATTCTGAAAACATTCGAGTTTATTACTTAAACTTTTTTTAAAATCGATACACGAATTCAAGTTCATATACTTGTCTTCAAAACTAAATGGACGATTCAATTCATAAAAACACGATGTACTTTCATCAAACAGATTTCTATCGAGAATTAATCTGTTGAACTCGTGTAAGATGAAAAAATGAGCTCAATACTAATAAAAATGTTACTTCAGTCTTTATTGAATCGTACCGGGAAAAAAAACTAGATTTTTACCATTACAAAGCAGTTAAGATCCGTTAAAAAATTTCAACTGCTATCGCTGAAAAAGTTGTTTCTTTAGTTACATATTTGTTATGTAGTGGAAATAAAAAGTGAAACGTACCATTATGCCATGCAGTATCATCTTCACTGACCATCTGTGTAACTGATCCGTCTTGACCTACAACATAATGTGCTGAAACTTTACTTGCTGGATTTTTAAACCATTCAATAGTGCCACCACCGGCTGTACCGTGAAGAACTAAACCTATAGTATTTTAACACGAAACAGTTAAGAATAAGAATAAAAATAAAAATAATGAAGGAACAAAAATGCTTACATGTGATTGCCTGACCTTGACGTCCACGATTGAAATGTGGTGATGATATTTGTTTAGCGCCAGCATAGTCTAATGTCCATGAGTGTACATTTGCGATAGCAACGATCGACAATAGTAAAATTAACGTCATCGATTAGTGTCTTGAAAAGCACACGCCCAAGATGAGTGTAGTTATGTCGGTTCTTGTTTTGTCTCGTTTGACAATATCGAATTTAAACTCTTGTATTTAAATGGATTTTCAGAAACCAAATTAGAAACTTAAGAGCTTGATACTCATAAGCTCTTGCGCATTCATGATTAAAACTAAGAAAAGCATAGTTCTAGTTTTTATGATTGGCAGAGATTTCGTGAAATTTGATCTGATATCAATACGAAAACAGTCAACAGTAAAAAAATTAAATCCTTAAATTTTCTTTTGAAAATATTGCTTCAATAATTGAAATAACTTCGAAGTGATATTACTTTGAAATTTGCACTTCAGAAAAAGTTTATTTTGATAGCTTGAAATTTTATTTTGTTTTTGCATAACGATTTATGATACACAGATAGCATTTTTGAACGCATCATATACGTAGGTCATTGTGTATATTTGCATTATTTTAAAAAAATCGTGTAAGCGGCTTACGCTATTGCCGAATTTTTAAAACAACAATTCTTTTTTTGGTTTACCATGTTTAAGAATTAAATTAAATAAGTTTCTGTTCTAATTAGTATTGGTTTAGTTACTGTTATTGAACTCATTTGCACTTGCTTCTTTCATAGTTGTCTAGTTTCGCTATTTGTTTCACGAAGCAAATGACTTCGTATCAACATATATATGTTTTTGAATATAAATTAAAGTAAAAAATAAGAAAAAACATTGCTATCTTTTAGTAATAGTCAAAATCAATACAAATCGTTTTTAGTAAGATTAACTTCTCGTATTTCCTTTTTCATATTACTAGCAGCAAATCAAACGTAATTCTGTGAATGATGCTTTGAAAATACGTCTGAAGAATGATTGACTGCTGATGAGAATGGGAATGTGCAATATCAGATTTTAGTCTGTGAGACCGTTGGAAGGATGGGCAGTTTAACGATAACTAATATGTGATGATGTATGACGAGTAGACTCTCATAGTGAGAATTTAATTGCAAAAAACACAGACAATGACACATCGTGATCATGGACACACCCTTTTTTCTAGCTCTACGAGTCTTCGTTTAAAAAATTTCTAGTTCACGCCTGAATATTGCGTAGAATAGATAGATATTTATCATAGTATGATGTGAAATATCATATTCAGAGAAAGAATTTTATATGGTTTGTTTTCCAGTTTTTGAAAAATCAAGCATAGGTCAGATCCCGGTTTCAATTATATAAATGAGTTGATAGAGTAATAGCGAAAATCTACCAATTATCATTGTCGATGTATACACTTGTGTATACATCAAGCTTCAATTCTTATCTACAGTTTTGGAAGCGAGTCAACATCCCTATGCAATTATAATTAAACTGTGACAATAGCGGATGGCGCAGAATAAATTACTTTGCTCTTACTCTAAATGTTGGTCTTCTTTTACACATTAGCTTGGAACATATTGTTATCTATGAAACACAACGATTAAAACTTTCTCTAAAGTCTTGTTTGGTCTGGCACTAAATATTGTTATCGATATGTACAAAGCAAAACATGAACAGTAAAGACATGCGAAAAACCTGTAAAAACTAAATAGAAAAATGATGATACAGTAAATCTGCAAAAATATTGCCGTCCCATATTCAAAGAGATTTCATAACTTATACTTAAATTGTACTCAGATACTCCGACGAGACCTTTTTGAGTATGTTAAAATTTTATCAGAAGAGATCATATCTCAAGAAGAGTTGATTCATTTAAAAATTTTACAATTCATTATTAGATTGTATGAAATCGATACTTCGATCAGCGAATACAACGGTACAGAGAATCACAATCGTTTCTTGTAAGATGTTGAACAAAAGTTCAATTCTTTTCTGAAAATATGAAGAATTTTTCAATTTTCATTACAAAATAAAAACATGAAAGTATATATATCTAGGTGGCATAGTAAAGAACGATGCTAATGAATAGGTTAGAATCAAGGATCGAATAAAATCGTTGAACATTGCCTTCAAATTAAAGAATAATTCAAGTTCATTTACACTAATTCCGATAATAAATTATTAGTTGCTCATCGGACTATCGTTTCGAACCATACTCTCAAGTTAAATATATCAATCTCGCGCTGCAGAGATATAAAGCTGAGCGAATTGAGTGTCAGTTTTTTATGTTATAAAACTTGTGGAATATGTTGAATGTACTTCCCAGTGTATTCAAGCATGTACTGAAGTTCGATTGCAATTTGTATTGTATGATCTGCTCTATAACATAACATATCTAAGATTGATCAGTTTTTAGTGGGTCATGCTTTTTTAAATACAATTCTATTTTGAGTAAATACTCACGAAAAACAAGAGCGTCAAAAAACATTTTATTTCGATGTAAAGTTGTATAAATAAATTTTCAATTTCAATTATACATCCTTTGGCAGATTTTGCAAGATTCATTATTGCCTGACAATCATTCATGATAATTTTAAGATTAAATTTAATCAAAGAATGAAACTACTAAAGAAGTAGTCAACAATAGAAGTTGTTGACTTTTCGAAGTAATTGAAGCGTTGTCTGATTTGTATTGCAGAAATTATTGGCATAAAAACATAGAATATGAATATATACAGTTGCATACGTATATCAGTGGGAAATACATAAAGTACCGAAATCGGTACTGTATAAAAGGCATGATCTTTTATTTTGGTTGATCAAAATATGTCTGAATTCTTTGTTGGCTGATAAAAAGTGAGTACCATTAATGAGTAGTGGAAGAGTGTTGCTAATGCAGCCGAGTCGCGTCGGTTAAATATTGTTGGCAAGCTACAGAATGGAACTGATTTTTATGAATTGTACACGTTGAACGAATTTTGTTAAGAGCTGCCAGTTCACATTCGTGACTTTGGTTAAAAGAATTTGTCGTCATTATGTCAACTGTAAAAACTGAATTTCTACAATTTTTCTAAAACAAGAATGTACATCACGTGGTAGAAGTTCAGAAACAAAATTAAACATTGACAATCTTGTTCTTTGTAAGACAATATCCATTCTATTACTTCACTTTGATATTCATTGGTACATTTTATTAACTAAATTACAAATGATTTTGATGAAATAAAGTTATTCTGCCAGCAATTTTACTAAACTCAAAAGTCAATGAACTTCACAACCATACAAGTGACATTATAATCCATTTTGAATTACAACTTTTGCAAAATTTATATTATATTGTTTAAAAACTCAAGCAAACACTTTCGAAGGATATCGTATGATTCTTTTAAATCTTACTCGTTTCTATGACGTTCTGGTTTGTGATAGCTCCAACTGTATATGATGATTTATTTCTAAGTTTTCAAAAATGAAATGCTCCCTAGATGAAGACAATATTGCAGTGCTCGCATTTAGTATGAAGAAATAAAATGGAAATAAAATTCTCAAACAATTGCTATGTGCATCGACCAATAGGTTATCAAGCAGCTAATTCGTTACGTATACACCTATTTGACGAACGATGCTCGACTTTGTCATGGAAATTTCACAAATGAATATAATAATAGTATTGAAAAATGATGTTTCTTATTTCCAAAGATACCGATAATGCGGTAAATTATTATACTTGATTTCGTTGTGCAGTGAAACAATCATTGTCATCTATTACTAATCAGATGATGATGTGACAAAATCAATTTTTAATGGTATCTTTTTTTTCTTTCAAGCTACTATCATCATTTCAAAGCTTATTCTTGGCAATGCCATCGTTTTTATTCGCATGTTTTTCCAATTACAATACATATCAAATAACAATAATTGAAGGATAATAAATAGATCTGATTCGTATCTTGTGCCAGTATTTGCGAATGAAAATGATTAATAGAATGTTTCTTCCTTCTACTATCGCATTCATTGTATTACAAAGGTAAATGTTTTCATAAAATAATTATTTAATTATTCATTTGTTTTTGTTTATTATTGTTTAGTTTATTCGGTATAACACTGCTAATTATCTAATTGTATTTTGATTATTGTGTTTCGTCTCATTTAGTTTTGACAAGAGGTCAAACATGTCGAAATTTACCACTCTATGCTCCTTGTTCAACTAATCCTGATTGTGGCTGTCTTCCGTTTTCATCAGCAGATGAACAAAGTGGAATTTGTGCATATCTTCATTTAAACGCTTCAAAACTAAGAACATGCAATGAAACAAATTACTATTGTGATCAACCATATACTGTTTGTATTCATCATCCAAAGTTATCAATAAGTCAACCATTGTGTTATCCAACTGGTATGGCTGCACTAGATCTTTGTCCGTCATTAAAGACAAATTCAAGTAGAAAAATAATTTTCTAGTGCAACGAAATGCTTTACATTCTACCTTGATATCGAATAGGTTCATCTACATTATCACCGATACCAGTTGAAGAGGTTTGTCGTAATGTAAGCTGGGCTAAACAGGGTAGAACTGTTGCTGGCAGTAATTATAGTGGTACGGCACTCGATCAACTTCGAAGTCCTACTGCCATTCTATTTGATTTGAAAACGAATACTCTCTATGTTTCTGATAATGGAAACGCACGTATCGTAACGTGGCAACCAGCTGCTAAGCGTGGAAATGTCATAGCGGGAGATAATGGCGAAGGAAATAGAACTGATCAACTTGGTTGGGTAAGTAGAAGAGTAAAGAAAGTGTTAGCTTCGTTCAAAAATTAGATTAAATTTGATTAGGTATCAGATATATTGATGGATTCAAAAGATGGAAGTTTAATTATATGTGATGCAAGAAATCGACGGATCATTCGATGGTCGCGACGTGCCCAACAAGGAGAAATACTGATTAATAATATCTACTGTACCGGCTTAGCATTAGATGATCAAGCTTTACTTTATATTACTGAACATGATAATAATCGAGTTACACGATGGATATTAGGAGAAAATATAACGCATGATCGGCTAGTAGCTGGTGGAAACGGCAAAGGTAATCGACTTGATCAATTCAATGAACCTTCAGCTATTTTTGTTGATCAAAATCGAACTGTATACGTAGCGGATCAATCTAATGATCGAATTATGAAATGGACAGAAGGTGCAAAAGAAGGAATTATTGTAGGAAAGTTACGATGGCCTCGAACAGTTCATCTAGATCAATCGGGCAATATTTATTCTATTGATGGATATTATAGTAGAGTTATGCATTTCACACGGGATAATGTTAATGGTACTATCATTATTGGGGAAAAGCAATATACACTTAGCCAAGCAAATGATTTAGCGTTTGATCAACATGGAAATATTTTTGTTTCAAATTATGGTACTGGTCGCATTGATAAATTTGATATTGATCGAAGTGCATGTTCTTCAAGAAATGTTCAATGATCAACATTGATTTCGTTGAAATAATAATAAATGAGATAGGTTTGATATTTTTCAGTTCAAATGATTGAATCCAAATGAATCATTCTACATGTGAATGCATCTGTTCTATCACAAAAATTCATAAGAAATTTCTTATTCATATGCCAAAATGTAGGTATCTTGTGAATCTCACAGCTTTGGGAAAATATAACAGCAGATCTCCACAGCATATGATTTCATTAGGGAAAAAAATAGAAACTATTTTCTTCTATATGAAGGACGAAGTTGGTTCGAAGTTAAGAATAAGGTTCTTGGAGACAATGAACGACATCGCTTTGATCGATTATAAAAATGAATCTTTCAGTTCCCGAATGAATATATTATATGGCTAAAGTAAAAGACTGAAAACTTGCATTTATAATCAAATCAAATCAATCTATTATTAACTGCTCGTTATGTATTGACAGATAAAATGATTATTATTTTTCATTAATATCGTTATGGTCGATAAGAGTTCAGATAGCATTTCAGAAATATGTTGCGAATACACTTATTAATTTCTTTCATTCGTGCACAGCAGAACTTCATGAATTCAGTATCGCAAGTGATTTCAAAGTGTGCTACTGAAACAGATAACTATCGAAAGGAGAAGATGATTGGAACAGTATAGTTTATTAATGAAATAAATCATCTTGATCTGGTGAAAATTTTCTAACAAACAGTCTCGCTTTAGTAAACTACATTCATGACTTAATACAAATTTTATTTCATATTTTTTATTCGTTTCGCTTCAAATTCATCTTCTATGATATCTTTCAAATAAAATTTTATTAGTGATGTATTTATCGTTTTAAAAACAAAACTTTTAGCTAGAAAAACAGTATTGAAACATACTAGTAAAAATTGGACTTTTTATAAAATGAAAACTGACTAGATACTGGAACAATCGCCGGCCACCATTTTCAATAAGAAACATTTCAAAGTTGCCACTCTCTTAGCTCATGAACCAAATATTTTCTTTACTATCCACTATATCATAATAGACCCTACTAGAAATATGAAGTTTTAGTAATTTAAATTCTAATTTCGTGTGAAATATTTCGCCCATGCAATTCAAATTGATCATGCAAACATGTCAGAAAGAATCTCAAGCTTGTTCATTTTAATTTACACATAGTGCAGAGTTCTATCAGTTGCTCTTATGAAATTATTAGTGTTATCTCAAGACTCACAAGATCAATTACAGTCAATCTATTGATTATACTTACAGCTCAGTTATTTTCTTGTTTCAAATTCAATGGAATCATTTCATGAGGCATCCATATAAAGAAAATATAGTAATAAAGCGCTAATATTCAAAGAGTATTATTTTCATTTATACGAATATCTTTCTATTGTTTTGATCATGGTTGATATATTACGTGTTTTTTTAATTACTTTATTTTCATTATCAATTTCTGCTACACCAGTATTATTTACTTTTCAAGGCCTTGTCCAAGGATTTACATTAGATCGAATAATAGCAGCAATCATTTTATGTTCGGTACAGATAAATTTCATTACGGTTTTGTGTTTAACAAAAAATTTCAAGAAACTGAAAATATTTATTATCATCAACACTGGTTTGTTATATTTAAAAAAGCCTCTTTCCCATAGTTTGTTTTTGAAAAGAATTCATAAACCGAAGGGTATATTGTGAATATCCTTGTATTCATACTTGAATTTGCGATAGATTTCATTAAGAGGTTTTTTCTCTTCATTTCAGTCATCATTTTTATCTTATTTATCATCGAATTAATTGCTCTACAACATTTTGTTGACCACAGCCGTCAGAAGTTTCATGAATTGATAGAAAAATATCCGGAAGGAAGCGTACCCGATGATTGGAATTTGATAGTATATTATCATGCCATTAAAGACAAAAAATGTTGTGGTATTGATAAGAATAAAAATTTATCTCTGCAAGAAATCCAATACTTTTATCGAAATTTTGCATCAAATTGTCTGAAATTTTTAAAATATTTTTCAATAAATGTAACAGAAATTTATCAGTACGTATTCGCTATAATAAAATGCCAACATTTCATACTTCTTTTTTCTTTAATTAGTCATCAACCGTGTATGAATTTCGTTTATGATCTACGTTACATAGTTGTAACAAGTAAATCAAGCATATTTTAACATCTGAAAAGATTCTATATTTTTTCATATTCTAGTTGGTGCTATGAAGGGTAAGTTTTGTTTATTTACTTTTTACTAATTATTCATATATCATGGATTTATTAAAAGTGCTTACTATTTCATTTATGATGACTTTATTTTGGGTTTATGTCCAATTAGGTGCACGTCAACGAAATCGAATAGTTCAACCATTTACTGAAATGCCGAGTAATCAAATAAAAATGTATCCATCCAGTACATCAGATAATTATCCATCAAATACATTCGTAATACCACCAACGTATCAAAATAGTATACCAAGCAATAAATAATGGACATGTATTTCGAATCGAACTTGTTTTGATATATAATTCACTGATCGATTCTTAAAATATAAAACTAAAACATAATAAAAGTGTATAGATAATATGAAAAGAAAATCAAAATTTTCGAAATTCTATTGAGGCTATTTTAAATTCTTCCAGGACTCTCTTATTCAACTATTGATGACATAAAGAATAAAATAGTGTAGAAAAATCATTCTGACATTTAAAGGTAAAACAATATATTAGCTGTTTGTTGTGAAGATGTTGGATTTTAATGATATTTTTAAGTGAATGAAATTTTTGTTTCTAACAAACACAGGAAGAGCGTATTTTACAATTTTAACTTAAAACTTTGCATAGAGATCAATCTTAGTCAGAATAGTTTATATTGAATGTTTGTTATGTTTTCGCTCTTTCTATTTTAAACGTAGCAATGATAGTACGGTTTCTTAAACATTTTTAAAACAAAAAGTCAGATTTTATGTTGGTCTTTAATGGAAGAAAGATTTGAAATTTCCACACCCCACTATACTACGTAGTCAAACTCTGACTCGGTACAAAATTGCAAGTTAAAATATGAAAATCGCTTTTTTTGCAGTGCTTCTAAAGAGCATTACGACATTCGTGGGAAAAATAGTGCAACAGGGCAGTAAGTTAACAACATTCAAGTGAAACTTCCATAATTCGAAGTACGAGCAGTCTTGGTTTTCCCTCCTTGATTTCATCTTTTGTCACAGTAATCATAGTTGATTCAACAGTGTCAAATCAGAGACAATCAATTAGTTGGCATGTGTTCCTCACCAACGATCCAACTTTGGTTTCATTGGTGAATTTTTTCTGATTAACATAAATCATTCAAGTACAAAACCATGCTCATTTACTTCTATGTGGAACAAGTCATTTCTTAATATGAGAAGGTTTCAAATTTTCATTCAACAATCTGATGAAGTTATTTGAGACGCTTTGACATTCTAGTTTTTGTTCTTTTTTAGAAACATCAATTTTCGCCAATTATCTTTTGTGTGTATAAAAAAAATTAATGTTACAATTGAAATAATACAAGAGGAAACAAGATATGAGAAATTTATAAAAAGAAATAAGAATACTTAAAATTGTTCAATCTAAAACCCGTTAGTAAATTTGAGAGAAAGTCATCTCTCTCTACTTGTGAATCAAAACGAAAATATCTTTTCTTGTGGTATCGATAAAAACCAAAGAAGTATTTTTTAAATTAAATAATTATTGTATTAATTGATATCTAACATTATCTAATAAGTTTAGGAATCTTCTCATTTGTTGGGGTCGAGAGAAGCCCACTTTTTATTAGTTATTCTTGCATATCAATTAACGATCGTACGCATTTTCATGTTCATTTTGATAAATTATACTTAACAACACGGATTGTATGAGATCATTCATTATTCAGCATTCAATAAAAACCTTATAAAACTACGCTGTATGAATTAATTGTGTTTAGCTCTACTACATTAAAAAGAAAAGTTACTATATGATGATAATTATATCTTATAGTGAGATGTAGATATCATCGTGAATCTTATTTTCACTATTCGTTCTCACGAATGATTAGCAAATAAATTTCAAATTGTACTTGTTGAGCAACTAACAGAATATATTGGAAATAGAATACTAGGTTAAAGCATATTTAATTGGATATCAACACAACACACATATCTATTCGATAAATAATCTAATATCAATGATAATAGTAATAGAAAAGGATCTTTGAATAATTACACATGAAATACAGTGAACAACTAATTAAAAACAGCAAAAGAAAAACAAATTCAATTTTCTATCAAAAATTAAAAGTAAAAGATTTGTTAATTATTGGTCACTTTATATATCTTTCGATATTTTCCTTGTTGAGATGCGGGTGGACCTCGAATTACTTTTGTTGGCGAACTTTTTGCGTGACTTGTGGATGTCTAAAAAATAAACATGATTTTATAATGAAAAATAAATAAATAATAACAGAAGAAAAAGCTTTCAACTAACAAATACTGTTGGTGGTGGATTATGATGCTGATCAAATTGTTCAACAAAACCAACTGATCGTCTTGATTGATGAGTTGGTGGTGTCAATGAACGATATTTAATATTCAATGGTGGAGAAGGTGAGCGATGAGTTGCTTTCTGTGGATCTTGATGTTGTAAATTCATAATTACATTTTTCATTACTTTCAATGGCTAAAAAATCGCTTTCTTTTTGTTTATTTTGCGTATAGAAAATTTTTCGCATAACATTACCTCTTGATATTCAAGTAATTTTTCGATATCTTTTGTTAATTGATTATTTGTTTTAGTTAAAGATTGTCGTTCGTTTTCAGATTCTCTATGTAACATAGAAAAGCTACTTGAATTTTTTCTATATCAGGTAAAATAAAACAATACCGAAGTTGTTTTTCTAGTTGTTCAATAGTATCATGAATTTTTTTCAATTGCACATCTTTATTACGTACAGTGGCAATAAGAAAATCATACGGTTGCTGAGCTTGATCCAATATTCTATTCGCATTTTCCAACTAGAATATTTTTCAAATAAGTATAAAAATAATATTGAGAAAACTAGAGACCTCTTGTTGAGTATCATTTTTTTTCTTGCGTTCTCTGTCCAATTCTAAGCGTAAAGATGTATTTGCTTGTTCTAATTGAATTACACGTTTAGCTAAATGAACTGAATGTTGAAGACGTCGTTTTGCTGATGTTGGTAATGATGCACCATAGCCATAAGAAAATAAGACTTTATTTGCATCAGCATCATTTTCAACTGTTCAAACAAAACAAAATTATTATGCAATTTTCTTACACAAACAAGAAACTTTCAAATTTTTTAGTGTCTTCAGCTATATATATATATTTTTCTTTTCTTCTTCTTAATATCAGATTGAAATTGTAATTTCAAATGTAGAACACCCGTTATTCTGAGATTTTAAACTTAGATTAAGATTTATATTTTCATTGGAGTTTCGCTTGAAAATAAATAACTTTACAATATACTATTTACATTAAATATATAGATAAAAGTATTTGATATTTTTTTTCTAATAAAATGAAAAGCAAGAAAAATAAATCGATGAAATATATTATGTATATCAAGCACCACTGAAAAATGATAGACTATCTAGATACTGAAATTTTCAGTAGGAAAATGACTTCTAAGCGTTATTGAATTGAATTTGAACGATATCGTTGTAATGTTAGCATTACAATGTTTCAGAATTGTATTTTGTTTTTGTATGAAACATAACATTTATAGTTAGAACAAATGCATGAAAATATTTGCACATGATACAAAATTAAGTGCTTAAAATAATAATAAAAGTTTCATAAGATATCAAATAGTTTAATGTCGACTGATTTAATTTTAAATAAGCCAACGAATAATATTTGTCAATATTTAGTTTCATACATTATTGCCTATATATTTTCTAGCTAAGCATATTACATTGAATTGTTTCAATATTGACATGATACTTCTAGTATTAACAATATGAATTTTCTATAGAATCCTATCGAATACATAAAATTTGAGAAAAGAGCCCAAAATTCATATTGTTAATAAATTAAAATGTAAGTTGAAGCATCAAATCATCAATTGATAATATTATACGTGAATCTATTGATTAAACACAGATGAACAATGTTTGTCGTCGGCGATATGCTTTGACTAAACAAAACTTAATATGTTTCTAGACACTATAATGTTATTATACTAATTTTACTATGACAAATGTATATTGAATTACTTTAGATACTGTCAAAAACAAATGTCAGCTCTATACACCTTAAAATATGTATCGTATGAAAGAGTCTGCAGAGAACTTAATCTGAACGAAAAGTTGTTGTTGTCTGCCAATAAAATAAGAAGGTCGAAATCATCTTTTACACCTTGCAAATCATTATGGAAGATTTAAGTAAACTTTTAGATATATTTTGCATTGTAAAACCTATTGTAAAATTATTAGACTCGTCTATGAAAACAATTAGAGAATTATTTGATAATTTGGTTAGTTTATGAAGTATCGAATTAAAATTGACTTGACTTAAATGGAGAGAGACTCTTATTTTAAATATATTCATAGTAAAAAATCTTTGCTAAAAAACTAGATCGTATAATGAATAAAAGTCAGCACGAAGGATGATCATGTTTTGTGTTATCACCAATTATCCTGAAGTCACTACGTAAATGTGTTCTAACCACAAGTACTAAAATTTAGATAAAAATATGATTCATGAAGATCTTCTTGTAGGTACAGAAAAAGGTATTGAAATATCTAGAGTAGAAATTTAAATCTATTCCTTCATCTCCTTCTACACAAAATGACAAATATCTTGCAGATAACTCTTCAACGACATCCTTTTGTAACGCCACTCTTTCCGCATAACCATTAGTAGATATCTTAGCAGTACTCTGTCTGTCTGTCGCCTCAATCTGTATCAGTTACTGTTGATTTATAATCAACTACCATCTACCAATAATGTCTCGTTCTAACTGATGAATTCTCTTCCTTTTGTATCTTTGCAGGATTGATTAAAAGTAGAATGAAACACGTTTCTGGAAATAGATAGAATAAGACGATTTTTCTACTATCAACTTATTCGATAATAATATTCAATTTTGAGAAATTTCTCAAACAAAATTGAATGGTCATGGTCACTAAAAAACATATGTTCGTTACCTTGAGCAGCTTGCATAACAACTTCATCTAATTCTTGTTCAACCTTCTCATATACTTGTAATTTGGTTCTTTTTTCGTTTAATTCAGTATCGACTTCCATAAGACGACGATCAGATTGAACTTGTAGATTAAAATATTCTTTTTGAATTAACTGCAAGAAAAAATATACAAAAAAATAAGAACTAAGAAACGTTGAAAACAAAACAATAAACATCATTTTTCTTTTGTAATTTTTCAATTTCAACTTGTGTTGTTTTTAACGATTTTAAATTTTCTTCATATAACAATTGCAGACGATCGAGTTCAAATGTTTTCAATTTTAATTCTGACTGTAATTCACCTAAACGAACTTCGTTTGTACTTTGATATTGACGATATCTATTTAGATGGATATACGTTTTAAAAAAAGTTTCATTATCAATAAACTGATTCTTACTCATTTAATAGTTCATCATATTTTCGTTGTAAATCTCGTTCAAGTTGAATGTGTCGATCGCGTTCAGTTATAGCTTCATCACGTGCATGTTGAAATGTTCTGATAAGAGGTATGTTTGGAAAAGAAAAACTAACAAGAAAAACAGCTTACCGATTTTCTCTGTCATACATTTCTTTGGTACTTTCACGTAGTTTATCAATTTCAAGTGTAGTTTTTGACCGAAGTTGTTCTAATTCAGCAGCTAATTTATTTTCGTATTCAGTTTTGTAGGCGTCTCTATAAATAGATTGAAATAAAATTTCTGATAGATTATTTAGTAATATATCAAAGAGAAAAACAAATAATTCACAGGGGAATATTAAGCAAATTTCTGATCATGTTTATTTACAACAATTTTCCATGTTTTAATTCTTAATTCTATTTCCATAATAATATTCAAAAGAAGCATGTGGTGGTAACGTTGATATTATTCCTAGCCAGAGAGTAGTCTAATATTATACTGAAGTGAACTTCTTTTAATTAGACAGCCTGTTGGAAACATATTGAAAACGAAAACGAAAACGAATTCTACTTTCTCGTATGTCACATTTCTCGACGAATACGCGTAAGTGAACATTCATGAATCGATTTCTGGCTCAACAGATACTACTCACATTAGTAAAAACCAATCGTAACTTGATTCTTATTATATTACCGCCAAGATTTCCTTATAAATTGCACTGGAAAAAAAGATTTTAATTTGCCCTAGGTGAGATTGAAATTTCAATTTCTCCTAAGGGCTATTTTAAATAGCCCTGCATTTCAATATCTCCTGTAGCACATATATATATAAATACCTGGTTGAAATATGCTTTTCATAAAGAATTTCTTTGGCTCGTTTGGTTTCATCTAGTGATGCTTCGAGTATGGAAATTTTTTCTTCAGCTGAGTAATATTTTTGTTGTATATCATTATATTGTCGTGTTAAATATTCTTTATCTTGTCGAAGTACTGTAACTTCTTGACGTAATTCAGCTAACTAGGTTAGAAATATAGAATTCCTTTAAATAGAACGTAAATATTACAAAAAAAGCAGACTTGAAGAAGTAAATTTTCTTTTTCTTTTATTTGTGTTTGTATTTGTAATTCATCTTGTGTTATTTGTCGATCAAGTTCAACAACACGACGTTCATATTGATCTCGTTCTCTATAAAAAAAAAGGAAAACAATTTTCCAATAAAACTTTAAATAATTCATTTACGCTTTAACTCGATCATAATTTTGTTTTTTAAAGTCCAATTGTTCTGATAAATTTTTATATTCATTTAGTTCTGATGCTGTCTTTTGCAATTGCATATGAACAACATGATTTGTACGACGTTCTTCATCTAAGACCTTTTAATAGTAAATTAATTATTTATCCAACATGTAAAACTAATAATTTCATAAATAATAAACGATTCAGTAAAGTTAACTTTATGATAGATACACTAATCGATATGTTTTATGTACAAAACAGTCAATAGAGTCATTTCTTTTCAATGAACATGTTCTCTTATCTCAACTAATAATTTGACTGCTCACCTTAGATGACATAATCAACGAACAGATTCATACTCTTGAGATATTATAAAAAGAAGAATCATATTGATGCAATTATGTTGTGCAGATGCTTTAGCACATCATAGACAGTAAAACAAATTCGGTTATTCTTATAGCAAAATGGAACTTCATAGTGAATAAACATGTTGAAAAGATTTTTCAAACATATCATCTGCATAACAATGAATATTTCGTACTAGTTTTATCTATGAGAAAGACAACGTACAGTTAACTTCATCTTTCGATTCATATTCAAATTGAAAAAGACGCCTATTATAGAAATATCTACTAAATATTTTTAATCTTAAAATTGTGTGATTATTATATGAATGTCGTTGGCATATTCAGAACAGTTTCTAGAATTAAATTATAAGTCAGTCGTGCGTCTTGTGAGAAATTATTGCTAATCTGTTTCTAGTCAGCAGTAATAGACACAGAAAATGTTTCTGTATCAGTTCGAAAATCAAAGCTTGACGATTGAAATAAATAATAGGTCTTTTTATAATAAAATATTCTCTCTTAGTTTCTATTTTTATTGGATATGATCAAATGGTTTTAAAGTTCTTAGAAAAATGTGAACTTTATCTTTTAAAAATATATTTTACTGTTTGTTGGAACTTAAAGACTTTTATTAACCTAGAAGAAAAGCAGTAAGATCAGTTGGAATAGGAAAGGTAAACTTTTTTTTTATGTGCCGAAGTAGAATATTTAACGTTTACCACTCACTTTTGTTCTAATTTACACATTTTCAAGATGAGATAAAATGTGTTTTGTCTTTATCTCTATCATTATTTTCATATATTAAAATTCATCCCCTTTTTCTCTGGTAGTTAGCGATCGATGGGACTTATTATTTCGTTTGATATATGTAATATACGATATTCTTTTTTCTTTTTCTTCTTACTTTCTTCAAAATTGTTTTCTTTTTGTAGATAATTTCACTTTTTATGATCATGTTTAAGACTTTACAACGTATGAAATTCCTCCATTTGCTACTGAACAATATATAATCGTTATATGATATATAAATCTACTGCAAGAAGGATGGATGAATGTTGACACAAATTCCTCGTTTTTTATTTATCTCCAGAGAAAACAAACAAGCGCGTGACACTATTTTTGAATTGATGATGTTTATCTTTTAAAATTAACATCATAATAAAAAATATTGATAATCAAATATTTTTGTGGAGAATGACATTTCCTACGCAACGCTATCAGAATTAAAAACATAGTAGTGACTCATTTAATATGATATACATCGTATATCTTTATATATCATTTCTACAGTCATTGTTTTTGTATTTAAAATGATATTATTTTGTAACAAAAGTTAATTTATTTACTTTTTGTGCTTGAATAAGATCTTGTCCAGTTGCTGCTAATTGACTATCTAAGATATTTTGTGTTCTTCTTAAATTTTCAATTTCAATTTCTAATGGTCGTACTGTTTCATAAAATTTTATCTGAAATAAATATCGATTGTTTAAAAATTTAGTTTTTCTTAAATAAAAAAGACAAACCATAATAAAATCGTTCAGTGCCATTTTTTCTGAATTCATATTGGTCGATTTTAGAATTCTATATTCTTCATCTGTAGGTAAAATTTTATTATGTAAATTATGTCGAACTTCATTAGATTTTGATATTAAACGTTTATTAACATCTTCCAATTGATGTTGTCGTTCCATAATTTGTGATAATTGTTGACGAACTTCATCTTGTGAACGCAATGCTAGGTTGCGATCAATCTAAAGAAAAGTCGCGGAGATTTATTGTAACAAAAACAAAGAGCACTAATTATTATTTTTTATTTTACTTGAAGTTGTGAATCAATTTTTGTTTGTAACAATTGTCTTTGATATGTCATATCAGCTAATTTTTCTTGTAAATCTTCGCATTTTTCTTCATAGTGAATTTTTTGATTCTGTATTAAAAGGTCTCGTTGATTTAATTCAATTTTAAGTATTTGAATAGCACGTTGAAGTTTTTTTGTTTCAATTATATTTTTCATAACATGCTTATTATTATCAAGATTCTCACGATTTGTCGTGGGAGTTGATGTTAAACCATCGAAGTCATTAGTTCGTTGACCTAAACCGCCTCCACCCGTTGGAGATGAGTCCTGTAAATATTTACAACATTTTTTATTTTTCGTTATCTGATAAGATTTATCGCCTCATTAAAAAAAGAATAATATAAAAGAAACGAATGTTTTCATGTTTTTGAAAGATCATAAACACGAAGACACAAATGAAAACAAATACAACGCGGTAAAAATCTTCATACTAATAGAAATATTCAAAGTTTCTTCTATTAATAATATAGGGATGAATCTATTCGACGTTCAAAAGCAACGGTACTACCAAAATTAAAACAACAATCAAACAAAAAACTTGTAAATAGCAATCAATCGGGGCTACTTAAAAGTTTAAGTCACGAAGATCTTCTTCTACCAGATTCCAATGATATTATTACAAAATGGCTTTCAGTTAAACCTGAACCAAATAAGCATGTAAAATTTGCAAATAGTATTGAAGACAAGGATGAAAAAACTTCGCAACTAACTGCGAATGAAACTAATTCATTATCAGATATTAACCAATATGTGCATGCATTGAATTTAACTCCCGTTAATACGCCACGATCAGGTTATAATTCTATTCTTTTAGAGAAGGTCTTATGTAAAAGTGATTACTGATAGAAATTTGCTTGCTGTAAGGAAATATTAGCTTTTCTATTTGTTTGTCTTCATCAGAATATCAATCGATCACAACTATTTAGCAATGCCGATTAAAAAACTTTTAAATAATGAATGACAGTGATTTATTTCTGTTTAAGATTAATTATGTTTGTCTCTTGATGTTACGAAATTAAAGAATAGTTAAAATCGAGATAAAAACTGGAGATTTATTCCAAGAAACAGAAAAACAAGTTCAATATTTCTGAACAAATAACTAATAAATGAAAAATCGAAGTTAATCAACTTGGATAAACGATAACAAGACTTTAGCGATGCATGGGTGGAAAATTGTTTTTCAAATTCTGAACTTTTCTTGGAAAAAAAGATTATAAAACCCTAAAAAATATGTCTTAAAAGCAAAACTCGATTGTCTAGGTGCTAAATAGTAATCATGAGCTCAGTTACTGAACAGACAAATAAGAAATTATTTCAGTTGTTACTGTGACCTATCTTCCTCTCACTGTGTGAACTGAGGCTATTAGTTTATTTACTAAGAATATTTCTAATGAAATTGAGATCTTCATTTGAAAAAAAAACAGAATCCTTCAATCAGACGGAGTGTGATTCATCACTTTACAAAAAGTAAACACGCAATTTTTCTTCGTACTAATCAAATTTCTATTGCATTTCTGAAATACACGATTGCATTGAATTATTTTTAATTTCATGTTTGGCTGGATTTCAAAGAAGTGAAATTAAAAAATCGTCACTAAGGTTTTTCTATATTATTTTTATCTTTTAGAAAATAATTCTAAACATGAACTATTAGATAACGGTGGTACTCATTCACCAACAACAGGCAAAGTTAAATTGCATCGTACAGATATTAACAGAACTTTATCAGTTTCAACTGTTACGTCATCATCATTAGCAACACGGTTATATGGCTCACCAGTTCTACCTGTAGTACCATCTATTTATCATCGTGCATCATCAATAGATAATTCTGCAAGTATAACAAGTTCATCAACAGTTAAATATCGTTTATTACATTTATGGTTACTTGATTTAAATGCATCGTTATCTGAATGCGATAAAAAAAAGTTCGATGATATTCGTGAACAAGTTCCTGATGAATTCGAACAACTACTACCAGCATTGTTGAAATTAGGAGTTCTTGCATGGCCAAAAAAGATATTTGATCAGAGCGAACAACTAACCGCACAAGAAATGAGTTTACGCGAAGATTTAATATCGATCATTGAAAAAGATAAACAAAATTTAAGACGACAACATCATCTTCAACATTTATATGGAAGTGTTGCACCGTTTGATAATGTTTTACATAAAAATAGTTCATTAAGAGAATGTCTCTCATTTCAAGGCCAATTATCTTTACTTGAAGCGTATCGAGATGAAATAGAAAAGTTGTTAACAAAAAAAATTCAATATTGGATATCCATACCATCGAAATCAAGTCAAGCAAGTTTTCTTGATGAAACAAGTTCATTATATCGTTCATCAACTATTAGTAGCACATGGAGAGCTAAAACAAAATTCCTTCAAACAATATCATCACGAAAAACTAGATTAAACAAAAATGCCGATCCATCAATGCCGGATGAATCACTTTCATTGATAGTACCCGATACAATCGATTATCAATGGAAAAGTAAACTTCTTGCTAAAGTTATTGAGCAAGGAATGGATATTTTAGATCAAGTTGTACAACTACCTCAATCTAGTTTGTCAAATCAATATGATGATACTGATCTTAAAGGACAAGAAATTGCACGAAAATATAAACGATGGTTATACTTATGGTCGACTCTTTACACAGAGGAACAATAACTACGTTTATTGATTTTGAATTTTTTCTACTTGAGTACAAAACTATCTATATTGTTCTTACTTTTAAAGCAGAAATGAAATAAAGATTAATGAAAAATACTCGGTGTCATCATATAAAATATCAGTCATTAATAACGGACAAGATATAAACTTTAATCTATAGATATAAATAATTACACTGGCAAGACCATTTTAAATTCGATTACGCTCAGATATCGAAACAAACTAAGACAACATATTGTATATATTACTTTATAATAGACAGTGTAACTACTCTCGAAGAAGAATGCGTTGGTGACAGCTGAAGTTATTGAACAAAAAAATAAATACCTCATCTAGTATCATCAACTGTGAAAAATATCATCTGTTTTCATTCAATCGTGAATAATAATGTCAAAAATTGATTGATTTCGTTTTCTGTTTTGCAAAACCATATGATCAAAAGATAAAAGTATTGCATACAGTAGTGTGAATATAGGTAAGAAAAACGAATCAAGGTCAGTGTAGGAAATAAAACATTCTGCTTATTTCTAACATTAATTATGAGCTTATCCACGGAATAGATAACTAATAATATTTTAGTGTTAGATGCACAGTAATGTATTAAATTTTAATATATACATTATTCTGTATGATTAGTTACAAACTAATTAATGAAAAAAATAAAAATACATACGTCAAGAAGAGAAAGTCCAGCGAGACCAGGAATTGTTGGATCAGTTGGTAGAGTACTTTCTGAGCTATCATTTCCATTATTTGATTCTAAATCACTGTCATCATCAGGTAGTTCGTCGCATATTCTTTTCTTTAATCTTTGAGGCATTTTAATGTAATTTAAATACTTAATAAGAAAAAAATATAAGAAACTATAAGAATAGAGGCACTTAATCAACTATTTATCCAATTGTTCAATACCATAATAGATGATCAATGCCATGACAACAGATTACGATAGACGATCATCTAACTTTTTATGAAATAATTATTCAACAAAAAGTTCTAGAAAATATTATATTGTAATAAAAATTGCTAATTTCCTATTTAGTAAATAAAAATTAAACGTTTAGAGACATCTGTTGATAAGCAGCGATGATGAATCATATACATGTTGTAACTGATAGGTGCGTACGCCTGTCTACTCTACTGGATAATGCAAATGACAACTAAACATTGAACAGTATCTATAAATAATATATTTTATAGAACATAAAATGAAATCATCTTCATCAGTGTGTTCGATGGATGGTTGTAAAAAACCTGTCACTTGTTTATGTCACCATTGTCAAAAGAATGTATGTTCAAAGCATTTCAATGAACACCAATCTCAAGTAAATGATGAATTAATACCTATGGCTGATCGTCTTAATGAACGTAAAAGTTTTGTTTTGTTTCTATGAAATTTTTAGATTAAATTAATATTTATTATTTTCAGTCAAGATGAAAATTCAAATTAATGAACAAACAGGTCCATTAGCTATGCTACAAATATGGCGTAATAACAAATATCATGAAATAGATGAAGAATATCATTTTCGACTAGAAAACGTGAAAAAGAATATAAGCAAATATAATGAACAAATTTCGGAAACTATTTCCAATATAAAAGAACTTATTGTTGAAGGTGATGCATCTATTGATCAAGTTAAACAAATAGAAAGAAAAATTGAAACTCTAACCGATGAAGTGAACAATTTAATGAGTAGTGAATCCACAATGACTCAAAAAGAATCTAATTTGCTTGGCACAGTCATAAATATGGGTAGTATTCAGTATCTTGTCAAAGCAAAAGTTAAATGTAATGCGAAAGATTTATATGGATTGGAAAGTACCAGAGCTTTTACAGGATACAATGGATTATGTCCAGAATGTGGCAAAGCTCATGTCTTATTTGAAAAATATCGAGGATTTTATGCTCTATGCAATACTCTTCATGCTCGAATTCATAGTGAAAGAGAGAAAGAAAGCTAATTTTTTCACGAGTCAGTAATATAATGAATTATTTTTTCTGTAGTTATTTTTTTTTAAACACTCAATTCAAACAATATAAATATATTTTCCTTGAATTTCCATAAGGTTCTTCATTTATTTGTAAGAGTATAAATATTTTTGCTTTAGATATTTTCATTAATGGATATTGCATTACAACAGCATCCGACTTATTTAACACCAGCCCAATGTGCTCGTCAATTTGCCGATGATCTTCTCGAGGTTTTATTTCTGTTCGATTGAATATCTATCTTTGAGTCTTTTATTTAGAATAAAGATATTGGTAAATCAATGTCTGAAATGATCTCGTCTTCATATATAAGTTCATTAATAAATATAGCTGAAATGTTTTTAATACATGAACGATCATTATTTCTATCGGCAGTAGCCGAAATAGGTTTATTGTGTTCGAATAAATATTATGAACGTGTTCATTATTTTATATCATTTCTGGACGAACTTGTTGAATTTTATAATGATGTTAAATACAAAATGTTGATAGAAAAGTATTTAGATAAAATTGTTTATGCGGACTTAACTGATCATTTTATATCGTATCCAATAATATTACAAGTTCAAATCATGGCTATTATTGACAGTACATCAATACTTAAATTTCCATTAATACGAGAAGGATCAGAATCGGATCAATCAAAAATCGATTTATTTTTGCAAGATGCAGGTAAAGACTTCGTTAGATCAAATAATATATATTTAATTTTTGGGCAAAAGTTGTTGCCTGTAATGAAACGCATCGATTATGAGTTTGTTATACAGAACACTCAATTTGAACGTCTGTATGGAATGAGAAGCTGTCACTAGAATACATTCTTCACTTCCCTATAAAGATTAAATTGACAATTCATATATCATCTTTCCATCGCGAAAAATAGCATTCGCCAGTCATCTATGTGTGAAAGGTTTTTACTTGCCTTTATGATACTCCAAAATCGATTACTCCTATAACTTATTGTTTTTGTTTTATCTGAAGAGACTGCCATATGTATAGTTTGTCATTATCATACCATTTAGCATATAGTCAGCATCGAAATGGTTAGCACACTCTCAAATAATGAAACTAAGTCGAGGCTGACTTCTTTTTGACAAGAAAACAAATAGAAACTTCTTTCTTCAAGTCTCATGCAGTCGTCTTGCGTTCTAGAAAAAGATATTCAATTCTCTCTAGTATTCGGGAGCCCATGTAAACCTTATGAATTTTCAAAGAGTCTTGAGTTTACAGTTTATGAGTTATGTTGATTTGTTTTACTATAACTAACATCTGCTACAGTCTTCGAGTCTACTATTCTACTCTTACTACAGTGAATATTTGAACTAGGAAACTTTCAATAGAGAATCTCATAATTTCATGATCATTCTTTAAAAATAATTTCAAATGAAGTGATCATCACATCATAGAAAAAATAAATCTGACTACCGCAGAAAATTTTCTCTATCAAACATTTCCATAAGGAAAAAGCAATATCTTAGCGAGTTGATAGCTACATTTAACTAAAGTAATATTTAAAGTAGTTTTCTTATTGTACTTCTGAATGATTCGTTAGATAAAAGTATTTGATTGAACATAATTATAATAAGTTGATCAAGAGAAAAAAGCAAGTCTACGCAAATTAACATCTCTTAAAATGTGAATGGATACAAGACATCAGATTAATGCGATAGAGAATAACGTCATTTTATAAGTGATCGCTGTTTTTTCTCTAGTATTGTATAGATTTTTCAATTTAAATTTTAGCTCGATATTTTCATAACATCTCATCGCGTTCACTTTATCGGCGCATTGTTTTTCGTCTTAATTCACAAATATCTTCTCAACAATCAATTTTACGCGCACTTATTATTGGTTGTATATTTTTACCATTAACATGTCATTCAGCATTCTTAGATGAACTTTATTATTTATTATCGAATCAACCAGATTTATTATCTTTTGCAAATATGGAAACATTTTTTCATGTTCTATGGCCAACTGGAATTAATCAATCGTATTCTGTTCCACGAGTTTATCTTTCACAATTGTTAATTGCTCGTTTATTGAATGTTCAAAAACATTTTCCACAAATTATCCAAATTTGTTTTTTAATACATCTTCGTGTGCCAAATATACGTATCAAACTTGTGGATATCATTGAACCACTATGTGAAACAAAAGGCTTTCAACGATATTTAGATCAACAACAACAAGAATTTAATATGTAAGATATTTTATGAGAACGCAAAATATCCAATCTTTACAGTGTCCTGCTAAATAAAATATGCGGATGCGAAAGCTTCAGAATTGTTTATAATAGTATTTTAAGTTCGATCAAGAGAAAATCAATGTTAGCATTTGCAAATATCTTTGAAACGAATTTTACTCAAAATATGTTTACAGAGAGATAAGGTCATCACGAAATTAGAAAAAACAGAGATCAATTTTATACTTACATGTGCAAAATCATATTGGTTCGGGTCGAATTTTTTGAACTTGAAAAGTTTATTTCGGTTAAACAATAACTTCTGTAAAACAAAACTTGATTATATTTTTCAATTTGAAAATATTTATATATCTTGTATGGTTTGTCAAAATTAGTTCTAGCAATTTTTCAGTTAGAAGAAGCACATTTCCTACGTTTTGATCATAATATAATACATTAAGTTATTGAACAACTAGATGTTTGAGAATTAATCTACTGAAAAACTAAAGTAAGAACATCTTCAGCGTGTGTTAATCGAACGAGTGAGTATTTTCCCCTAACAATTGACGATAGTTCTGAGTCATTGTTCATTAGTTACAATGTTTCCTATACTCATTTAAAACTATAATTATTTAGTTAAAAGAAAGACTGATAGTTTACAGCAAAAATAAATGAAAACTTTTAGAATTCTTTAATATTATTAAATTTTCTCTTTTTTTTTCGCTTAATGATTCATTTAGACTATCTAAATTTCGGTTAGTCTATCTCGTTTAGTGGAATTTTTACTTATGTTCTTCTACAATAAGTTAATTCAAACGTATGTGACTAAATTTAACATTCCGCAAACTAATTGAATTGATAATCAATCACTAAAATATGCGAAAACGTTTTTAAGCATTTCATATTATAGAGCTTTTCTTCATGGATCATTTCAATGGGGAGAATTTTCAATTCTTATTAAACACAAATTCAATTTTTTGCTCAATATACTGAAGAAAATACTAATTTCCTCTCAAGCTTGAGAGTACTTTGATTTTTCTTATAGTTTTAATGATAGTACTATCTTTTGTAAATAAGAAGAGTAAACTATTTACTACTAAAACGGTTAGCAGAAAGAAATCAACAAAAAATGAATTTCTAAAAAAGAAAATATTGTTAGATATCTGGATTTCTAGGAGAAAGAAAATGTTAACTTTGATATTGAACTGCACAGTTCTAGATTTCAAAGTTTCTCTATTAAGAAAAAAATAAAATTATTTCATAAATTGATTTCCGAGACAAAATTTATCATCTGTTTAAACGGGATCCAATCAAAATTATTATCATTACTCTATGTATAGTCTCGATTGTTATTTGACGGTTCAAAACTCTACAAGGACTAGAGTGTTGTTGAGTTTAAGGCGGTAGGCTCATACTGTTCTTTTGCACTTTGTATTTCATCTGATTCACATAATAGAAAATGAATGAATTTTACCGTCTGATGATGGGTCTCATAGATGTAGAAATCTATAAAAGTAAAGCATAGAAATGATAAGAAAGTAATAATTATTGATGAAATATAAAATATGTCTTATGAATTATCGAATTATCTACTCGTGTCATTAGTATGTGTATGAAACTAGACTTATTTTATTATTGGAAAAGTAATTTCGCATTTTCTATGAATAATTATTCATCAATAAATCAAATCTTAGGATGCCCGCTAATCAGGTGTTCTTCTAGTTTGAAGTGAGGCTTCTAGTTCATCGATACATATAGATTATTAAGAATCAATAATTCTATTGAGCTATTGTATACCGCTTTAAATCTGAGCATAAAATCTATTATTAAAAGCCTATATGGATAACACATCTACTCATATAGTCCTATATAAATATATAAAGAGTTAGCGATATATCTTGTTAAGCTGTATATATGTCTGCTTCGTATTTCTTAATATGAATATTAAAAAGAAATTCTTGCTGAATAGGTCTCGACAAGATGATCAACAAAATGCATCTATTTTGGAACCATTACTTCATCAAGTTCGTGAACGTATGAAAAAAGGATTTCGATTGAAACAACTATGTCGAATGAAAATTCGATCAATTCTGGCTCAAAATAAACATCAACATATAATTGCGCAAGTTCATCAATTGAAAGAATTATCTGAGACGAGTAAAACTTATTTAACGTATAATATAGAACTATTACTTAATGATCCAGAAAAATTTGTTGAATCAACACAATCACAAAACGAACCAATATGGAATTCAAGTATTCCACCACCACCCGTTTACTGAATAAAAATGAAATTTGTTTTTTATTGTCGAATTTCAATACTAATCGAAGTACAATTTTTTTATACGAATGAAAATATTTAAATTAGTGTTTTAATTTTTAAAGAATGTTTCGAACTACTCATTTTATGAATCATATGTTTGCATTATCATTAAAATCATTCATTTGTTTATTACTGTACGAAATATGGTTGATAAAGCCTCCATGTGTTGCATTGAATACTTCATTTTCATTATCATTTTCAGCATGTTGCTAAATTACACAATTGGAAAATGATTTTTGAGTCTCTGCTAAAAATGAAGTTTTGATATATTTTTTGTCGAAAACAATCATTGAAGAGCACATAGAAAGTTTACCATATTGAATCATACAATTTCTCTGCATATTACATATTTCACTACAGCGAAAACTATTTGTATTCAATAGTTAAAAAGTTAATAGTTTACATAGTTTATTCTGTATGATGCAAAGCTTTTGCATTTTATTAAACATTTCTAGTAAGGCTGCAGAAATAAAATTATTGCTTATATTTCCTATTTTTATTTAGTTATACTTGAATAAGGACTACAATGGGCTTATAAAGTTGACTTCTATCGAATCATCGATTAATAATCCACTTATGAATAGTTTTATATAATATCCGTATAGACAATTTAAAATATTCGAGTAAGTCAGTAAAGTTGAAATTAATCATGCAAACAATGGAAGGGAAAAACGGCTGACTTGAAATACAAAAGTAGGTCAAAGTACATGCTTGCAGTAGCTAAAAATACCATTCAAATAGTCCGAAATAAGAATAAATAGCTTTGCAACTTTGATATAATTTCAAGTAACTACAAGTAAATTTGAAGTCGAAAAATTCTTCGAATTTTACCTCTGGAACTAGCTCAATGTTACTTCAAGTCCGAAATCCGCCGTTTCTCCCTTGAAAAAATGAATACTGATAGAAAAAAACGAAGTTCTCTTTCTATTAGATAATATATTAAAATTCTTTTACAACTTATCTCTAGCTCATGAACTTATTTTTCTTTGTATTGACTAGTTTATACACAGTAAAATAGAATAACACTTTGATATATACCTTTATGACTGCAACGAGAGCATTAGAATTGAAGAATTTTTGCAAATAAAATGAAGAAAAATCGGAAAATGTCCCACAACAAAACAAAACAGGTATGTGCAATAGTAAGACATGGGAGTAAAGCAGTAAACATTCTTTTTAAGAATAATTTCCCAATCTTCATTGAAAGTATACTAACGAGAAAAAAAACTTAGAATGCAATTCAATGTAAAAAGACACTTTTTTTTCTATTTCTTTTCTTACTACTCAGAATTCATAGTTACTTGAGAACTCCACGTGACAGTAAAAATATTCTCGATTTTTTCCAACTTAAAACTATGACACATACTTTTTTCTTATGATAACATGATTTTCCCTCCATAAACATTAATCAAGAGTTAATACGATTTGTGATAGAGACCTTCTAGAATTGAGCGAGTAAGTACCGATACAACTATGGAACAGCATCTATTTAAACGCTTTATTTCTTGATAAGATTAAAACACCAAATTATTCTTTATCAAATATTGAAGCCTTTCAAAATTTAGTAGTTTCATAGGCGTCATAGAAACAGTTTCTGAGTCATTGGAAAATAAATAAAATAAAAAAATACACTCGAAGTTTAATGTAAATGGAACACTTTCATCGAAGATTTGTAACATGAAAATAAAATCTGAAAGATTATATATGAATGATGAGAAATATTTATTAACCATCTAAGAATTTATTTTAAGAGAATAATTAATTTGTGCATAACACGAAGAATCTTTATAAGAACAAACGAATCTATTTTTATACATGTTTATTATGCGTACTTACATGATGAATCGATTGTTTAAATTAATTTGATTAACATAAATGTATGTTTAGAATGGCAACTAACAATTGGGTGGAAAATGATCTCGAACGTGTCATTCAAAGCTTTAATCCAGCAAATTTTTTCGGACTTCCATCTTATCTATTTGATAAGAAAGGTGATCTTCGATATTGTAATGAAGAACCAATAAAATTGATTCGTGGTAAATGGGACTATTACACTCCATTTCGTGGTTGGATACGCTATGGTTTGAATATCGACAAATTTGGCTCTAGTGGTGCACATTGGCTTGCCTGTGATGGTGCTGCTGGTGAATGGGCAGTTGGCTTTCATGGAATTCGACGTGATGTTTTAGAAGTAATGAAATCAATAGCCTTTGAGGGTTTCAAAGTTTTTCAAGGCAGTCATAGTGAATGGGGTACAACCTCAGTCGATATAGGACAGAATGCATCTATATTTAATCAAAAAACATGTGGAAAAGGTGTATTTTTAACACCCAAGATCAAACATTTGACAGAAAATATTGAACATTGTCGATTAACAAAACCAATTCAGTATAATAAATCTTACTATGTCGAAACTGCTTTACAATGTCGAATTCATCCTAAAAAAATTCGAGTACCAGAATGTTCAAAGAACGAATATTACGTGGTGAACGATCCAACATATGTGCGTCCCTATGGAATTCTTATTCATTTTTTAACTGAAGTCCAAGCGAAAAGTATTTTAGACGATAACAATTTTAATTTAGCACCAGCTATTCCATTTGTCAAATAGGAGACAAATTCGTTAGAACAATAGATGAGGCCATTTAAAATATAAACCATGGCATAAGCTTTTCTTTTCGATGTATCATTTATGTTCAAAACAAGAATAAATGTGAATTTTTGAAAAATAATACATTTAATAAAATTGATTATTTTGACAATCATGATCAGTATTAGAAATAGATCATTTGTAACGAAAGAAAAACTGTCCAATACTAACTCAATAGAATTAAAATGTTATCCTAATCAAAGCAATATTATAATTTTCAACAGCTCTTACTTAGAGTTACTCAGGTTAACCCTAATCCGCCCACCTCTATAAACGCGTATATTGTACTATTCTAAGTTGGATGAGATTCAAACTTAATTGTGAGGGTTTAACTTTTCAATTCATGTTATACTGAAGCAGAGTATCATATACCACCAATCTATAGAATTTTTGTCCCTTTGAGACGTACTCGTAAAAAGAACAAGACGCACTTTCAGAATTCTTATTTTGAGCTGGGGTCCGTACGGACCCCAGGTGGGCGGATTAGGGTTAAAGGTTTAATATTCATAGAGTGAGAGTGCACGAGCATAAGAGTATTTTCTTTCCATTCAATCTGACCGTAAATCACAAAGAAAAATATTCGACTGAGTTTATACATCTATGTTATCAATGGTAGTCATTGCTTGAATCGTAAAAAGAGCTATAATATTATTACTCATCTGATAATAAAGTACATATGTTAATATAATCTATATTGCAAACTAATTTTTAAATCGATCTATAAATAATATTTATAATTCAGGTTGTTAAAGCAAACTTAAAAAAACATCACGCCACTGTATTTGAGTATATGCCATACTTGAAACTTGAAAAGACACTAAGGTTAGCAAAATCAATGTCTAGCACTTTCAAAAACATCAGTCCTACTTCATTATTTTGATTTATTAAGTTATTTCATAGAAAACAAAGTAGAACGAGCATTAGCTATATATTTTTTGAAGTATTTTGAGGAACGCTAGTGTAAAGGATGAAATAAATCCTTTTAATAAGTAACTACAATATATTTACTAACATTTTTTTTTATTAGTTGAATGAATAGATTTCATAAGAAATACTGATTACTATGATCATCATAGTAACATGGTAAGAATATTATTTATTTTTTTATTTTATGACAATATTCAAACGTTTTTTTAATTATCATTTTGTTAACATATAAAAAACTACCAGATTTAGGTTAAGTTCAGTTCAATATGATGATGTCATTGCAATTATAATCGTAACAAAACTTTGTTCTGTTAAATTAAAAAGAGTTATCTTTATTTAATCTGTTTAGTCTTCTTGAACTTACTTTTCATTTTTTCAAACTAGCTAAACATTGGAATATATTATGGAGATTGGTCATTTTGAACATTTGTTTGCTTTGATGTAATCAGTCAATTTTTCAATCTTTATCAACCTAACATTCGTAAATAGATCTCAACGTTAACATTCGCATCAACTAAAAAGCATTATTGTATTTGCACCTAAGAACTTAAGATGAACTATTAAAAAATCCACCTTTCTTTTTCTCACATAGCACTGCATATTTTACCTGGTCAACTAACAAATTCTTCAACAAGAAATAAATACAATCATCGAAGTTGATTTGATACAAAAATATGAAATGTAATCTTCCTTCTGTACAATGTAGTTTTGCATCAAATACAAGCAGCCAACACAGTTTTCTTTGAATGCGAGTTATTCAAAATTGTTTAGTCAGAAATGACATAAACCGTTATACAATCTATTGAAAGAAAGCTTTCATCAATTGTATTAGCATACAAATAGATATTTTGTTTTCATTTATACTTCCATGCACTGTGTTTATTCTTCACCAACTGATATTTATTGAATCGATGTTTTATTTATGATTTTATTTTTATTTTCGAGTGGAAGAAAATTTTTCAGAAAAGTAATTGGGAATAAATTTTTAAGGTTAAAAAAAACGCACAACGTTACATTAAATATTGCCGTTCATCAGTGTATACTATTAAAATTTATTGAAAGTATCAGTTGTTAAAACAAAATGTAAATTCAAAAGTTGAAATGTATATTATTTAATATAAATTAAAATGGTTCATCGTACAAAACAAAATAGGAGGATAGATTGATATACTTAACGAGCGACAGTAGGTCTAAATATCGGATGAAAATAGTCAATAAATACATGTAATTGTCAACTTACATCTCGTGCTTGTCGTAGTTCTAAAGAAAATCAATCAATTAATCAATGATATCAATATATGCGTGTAGTAGCAGAAGATCTTTTTACCTACTGCATTTATCTCGGAGTTTTCTCTTTTCAATTTCTCCTCTAAAAATGAGAGAAATTATTTAAATTGTTAAATAAATTATTGAATATTCACCGTGTGAACTAAGTGAGAATGAATAGCGTGATTTGTTTTGAACGTTGTTGATTAACTTTTTCTTTGATATCTCGTTACCCATAGTTAAATTGATCTCGTAAAAATTTGTTAAACAAATATGCAGTTTCAGCAGCCAACTAAAATTGAATTTTTATGAATATTCACTCAAAAATATGCGCAGTTGTAAAGTTTGATTATGCTTTTTTTTGTCAAACAATGTATAGAGTGATACAAATAAACATACTGAAACTATTTATACAATTGGAATCGAAGAAAACGTGGTGTAGATACGTTTTGTGCGCTTTTCAATATTAACCTATATATGTTTACTTAATTATTTGATGTTGATTATTTGTGTGAGATACTATACGAGCAAAAATTAAGTGAAATACGCCGTATTACTTATTCTGAATTAATATATTATGCGTATGTGAATCAAGTGAGAAAAATACTATTGTTGATAGGTAACCACGTACACTTGCATAATGTAAAACACATACATCGTACAAAATATTAAAAATATGCGAATACAAATGATTAGCATGATCTAGATGTTTATCACAGACAAATTTTGTATAGCTATGCTTGCTGTTAAATACATATCATTATTATTTATTTCGTTTTATATTTTCTTAATAAAGTATTAATATTCGAATGTAACAGCACATGACCACACTAATAGTTCAAAATAAACCTTAAATCAAATCAACAAGGCTAAATATAAAGATCAGATGTTATTTATACATATACGTATGTGTATATTATTTTAGATATTTTAAAATGATGATTAGGAGTGGCATTTCCCTACAGATTTATTTTATACTTGGAATTTTTACAGTTTATTTCTCTATTTTGATGGATTTCTCAAAATGTAGACTAATCATCTCTGCTTTCAAAGTGCATGTCATCGAAAATAAATTTATAAGGATTAAAGAAGAGACATAGGCTGTATGAAATAGATTACCGATTAATCGATTAATCTAGTTACATGAACAACAATTCATAAAACAGTGTATTTGGCTTTGGCGTGAAGTCATTTCTGAATTCATTTTGCAATCGAATGCTTATGCTGTTTAATCAATTAATAGCTCTACCGATAAATCCTTTTCCAATAGAAACCCTAGTCGAATTTGTTTTTTCTGCGATGGACATGCGCGGACCTCAAGCTTGGTCCATAGCGCATGAATTTCTTGATCAAGATTCTCAAGTATCTCCTGTGCAGACCAAAAGAAGTTCGTCTAGGGAAGGTAAAAATAAACACATCAGACGATGAATACGCTTGGGACCATGATAGCGTTCAATATTATTTTTACGCGACAAGATTTCGATAGATTAGACTCGTTTTTGGTAAGTATTATTGTTAGTACAGCAATCGCTAGCACTTCTCATCTTCAAACTAGATATATTTATTCATTTTATTTAGGAACTTAAGAATTGATTCTAATTCTATCTATTTACTGCATTGCATCGTCAATTTACTCAACATTAAAAAAACTACATGAGTAGGTATCAAATCGTATTAACTGTAGCAATAAATAACAGCCCTAGATAAAGAAAAGCAATCTTTTAAACATGATGAACTAATTGAAACGAGTAGAAACCAACTAATGTCTAATAGAAATTACTCCTGTAACAATCTAGCTAATACTCTATATAACGACTATTGCTTATGCTCAAATATTTTACTGTTATAAAGCTAATCTAACCAATACTCCGCTTGTGTTATGGAAAAACAGCATGGTGTCGTTTATTAATTGATTTAGAATTTACTTTCATTAATATTTTAATTCCATCGTTCTCGATGTTTTTGTTCAGTTTTATTACTATCTCAAATATAAGACAAACTATTCCACGTCAAATTCAACCTATACCTCTAAGTATAATAAATCAAAGTGTTCCTATAGCAAGACAATCTCAAACATTTGAAAAAACTGAACATTTACTTTTGACGCTTTTCATTCAGGTGATTTCATTGATATTATTTTCTCTGCCACAAGTTATTCAAAGTCTTTACACAAATATCAGTCGATTTCAAATGCGACCTTCATTACAAAATGCAACTAACAATTTTATGTTTCATTTATTTCTTCTGTTAACTTATGTTACTAATGGAATACCACTGTATCTTTATACATTGTCTGGTGGACAAGTTTTTCGAAAAGCATTATATTATTTAATCAGAAACTTCATTGAAGTAATCGCATGTCGACGAAGATGGCATTCTCTCCTGTGAAGAATAAAATTTTAAAAACTTATTCAAAAGCAACAGCAGATGACATATTCTATCATTGTTGTTCAATAAAATTAATTTAAAAAAAACATCATTTCAGATAAAGTTCTAATGAAAAGAAAAGTCGTTAAAGAAAAGCTTGCAAAGCAATTAAACCGCTTAATCATGAAAAGACTACTCATGTGGTAAACTTAGAATTTTGCTGACAAGTTGAATTAATTTTCCATGAACGAATGGTGACATTATTGTTTGCCTATTTTCAATATCAAGACTTGCGAAAATCAACACCATTTAGTTTAAAGATTTATTGAAAATCAAAAGCAATATTGCAACAATTAAATATATTCTTTAGTTTTTAGTTTAATGCAACAGTAGACTAAATGACAATGTAATCTAGTAAGCTATTCAATACAAAATTCTTGAACAAACTACTTAGAAAAGGTAGACATATTTTAATAATCTATCAAGATATTTTGATTTCGTATTGGAAGAATCTTTTTTTTGTTTTCTTTCGAATTCTCTTGACTAAATAGAAATTTTACATATTTCTCTCAAACGTCTTTTGATCTCTGTCATAATTTAGTCACATATGAAGTAGGGAGGCTTTTTAGATGAATTGATAAAAATCTTGATGATTTTCTAAATGTATCGGTTTTTTTCCGTTTAAATATTAAGCAATAATTAGAAATTATAGTATTTTCTCTACAGTTTTACTGAATATTTATTGTTACTTTACGAAACATCAATGCAAAAAGGCGGAATTTTGTTATACTGGAAAGTAGTCTATTCGTATGGGCTGATTTGCTCTGTACTGAATAATCCGGACAATTTTATTCACTACACTTAATCATGACATTTCCATGATCTTAAGTATTGTTCATAAAGTTTTCATTGTCGAAATTACACAATAAACTCATCTTTTCCCACTCTAACAAACTTTTATTTGTTCAGAAACAAAAATAAAAATAAACAACCATCCATAGTATTACATTCAATAAATATTAAAAATATCCTCTATAAAAAAAACCTCGACAAACCAAGATCATTGAAATTTACTGATAGATAACTAAATAGAAAATTAATCGAAAATGCTTATAGATGTTTAGCAGCAGCTTTATCATGATACCAAACAAGATTATTAATTTGTGAAATAGGATAAGTTTTATTTTTTTCTCTTAATACTTCTTTGATAGTAGTTGATTTAGTTTCACCTGTTATAACAACGATTTTATATTTTGCTCGATTTATTGTATCTAATGTTAATGTAACAGGCTCAGCTGGTGTTTTAGGTGCATTTTTCACAAAGTAGCAACCCCTTGATTTATATTCACAGCTGAATGGTTTGAGAAAAGACTTGCAATATATCCATCAGGTCCCATACCGAGAAGAACAATATCAAACGACTAAATAAATCAAATTTCTATTATCTAGATAAAAAAGAAAGTAAGTCTTCTAGCCTTATCTTCATCGTTCAATGCTTCTTGTAGTTTATTTTGATAATCTTTGGCACATTCTTCAACAGTTTCTAAATTTGGATCTATTTTAATAATATTATTCTCAGTAAGTGGTAACTGTCGAAATAATTTCGATTGATAATTTCCATAAGTTGAATCGTCTGATGTAAATGGAACAAATCTTTCATCAATAAAAAAAAGAGCTTTAAACAAGTCCAGGGTAATTGTAAACGAGGTAACATGGATGCAAGTAAATCAACAAGGGAACCACCTGATAGACCAATGGTTATTATTTGGTTTTTGTTCAATTTATGTAATATCAATTGTTCAAGAAGATAGCCAAGCATTTCTGCTAACGAATCGTTATCATCAGTAACATGCATATGTGCCGATGACATGTGCTGTTTATTTTCTTTGAGAATATTATCTACAAATTTTTAAATATTTCGTATTGTATTTTATGAAGAACATCAAATCTAATAATAATAAGATTTTATTCTTTTTCAAAAAGCTTTGATCGTAAATTTTCATAACAATCTAGTCTCATTTTTGCATAATTTACATAATCAAAATCCAATTGTGATATACGTGCTTGAACTAATCCCCAAAGTCCCCACATTAATTGTGCTAAAGCCGAAAATTGGTCAACAAGATGACATAGATCGTCATCAATTATTTTTTGACTCATTCCACGAGCTTGAAAATAGATTTCTAACCATTTTTTTTGTTCTTCTCGGCCTGGATATATAGTAAAATCTGCATTATCGACACCAGCATACTCAACAAAATGATTTGCAATATCAAATAAAGCATAATTAAAATGCGCATATTCAAAATCAATAAATGATACTGTTGCCGTTTTTTCGTTATAAATTATATTTTTAACAAGTAAATCATTGTGACATAATACAAGATCTTTGCCTAATTCAGCATTTGAAATAAGACGAGGAAGAATTCGTTCTTCTATTGCATCAACATCTGATCGAATTGAAGATAAATCAAATGAACTTCCATCAAGCAACTGAATAAATCGACGTAATGATATAATAATATAAGGTTTCTCAGCTCTTTGAACTGGTACATTATGCATTTGGGCAAGTTTAAGTGCAATCAAACGTACAATATTCTCTTTTCTTACATTTTCTCTTGAACATGTTTGCCCTGATGCATATTCATATATGATCCCATTATTAAATTGAATAAGAATACGTTGGGAGAAAACACCGTGTTCAGATAATATTTTCATAGCATTTATTTCAGATTCTCGGTCAATAAACGATTCTGTCTGAGCACCATAAATTTTAATAATCAACGTTTTAGATTCATCGTCAGGATTTCTATTATCAAAAAGACCTACGATTACATTTGTTAAACCCTCGGTAAAAGTTACTAAACGAGTATTCGATGAATTCCAATCAGGTCGAATTGAATTAATTAGAGAATAGATTTCAGTTGAAATATTTGAAAACGATAAAGTAAACTTCTCTATTATTGGATATGTAGTCATCTGAAAATAAATAAATACAACTTATCGAAAAACTGATTTAAAACTACATGAAAAAACTAGAATATAAATAATTATCGATCGATCATTTCTTATTTATCATTCAAATATTAGCTGTTCGAATAATTTTCCTTTCTGTTTCAAATATTTTTATAACTAACTATGTGCTACAACAAGTTATGTAATTGACAAACAAAGCAATATTTGAATATAATGTTTATTATCCTTACTTACGTCTAAACCAAATACTATCGAATCACATAAAGTTGATGGTAAAAAAGTGAAGCGAAATACGAGAAAGATTTTCTTTTAGCAATAAATAAAATTCTTGTCTTAGATAAACTCTGCGTTTTATTATCTCACTTAATAACACAGAGCACAGTTCTTATCGAAAAAATATTATGGTCCAAACATTGATAACAATAAAAGCTATCCAATGTACAAAGGACTTGTAAAAATAATTATCTCTATAAAGATAACGTCTATTTGGATTGATCAACACTTTTATTCTTCAATTAAAATCATATCACCTTTCAAAGATAAAATCAACTACTAATTGAATAGAACTTGATTATGTATAAATTTCTTTTTAAATTCAATTGATGATTGATATACTTATATGACATGACATGAAAACTCAAGTTTTTACTAATAGTCTTATATAAACCAATGATAAAAAATTGAAACATCGCTATAGAGGACATATTTTCAGATAGGAGATAGAAATGATATAAATGAAATTTGTAAGTAATACAAATGATATGTAACTTATATTCTATGGTATAGTTTTGAAACATTTTCATTTTGTTCGATCTGAACTTTCATCTGAATAGAATTTGCAATAAAAAAAGACGGATAAATTATTACACATTTAAGTAGAAAAGTTTAACTAATTTACAACATTATTTTTCGTTATTTTTTTTTTTATGACAAACATGAATACTAACCAATATGACAATTAAATCAAGTCTAACAAATAGTAATTCAAATATTTTAAAAAATATTCGAATTTCTCTTATGTAGATTTATTTCCTTAGTTACGATAACACTGCTTGGATGAGACGTTCCTCTCTGTCAAGTAGACGTATTTCTAAAAGAGATGATTGTGTATCAAATGAAATATGGACGAGAATGAACAATGTTAATGTAAAGTAAGAGAGTGTAGTGTCTTGATGTTATTTTGCTGAACTCATAAGTATGTCTAACAAGAAAAATTCGCAGCCATTCTATCTAATCTATTGCCAAAGTTTAACACGAATTAATCGTTATTGAAACAGATACTTATTGAAAAATAAGTGTTCGTCAATTTGAACTTGCCTATATACTTTGTAGAAACAATCTCTATATATTGTTGGGTTCTCGTGTAGCAAGTAAAACGAGACTGAATAAACGAATGATATCGATTGAAAATAATCTAGTTTTGCATACAATCACATTTCTTAGTACATTATTTATGTGTTCTTAAACCAGGGTTATCAAATCTCCTGATTTTTCAGAAAACTTCCCTGATTTATGGATCACAATATAAGAACATGACGAGGTGAATCATTATTAATTCCCTTCCCATTATTTCCTTTACCTCCATTTTCAAACTTTATTTCAATTTTAATTGGCAAGAATTAAAAATCAGAAAAAAACATCTGTCCTTTTTATATATTTCCTTTCATCCATTCACCCCCTCTCATATCTCATCACATACCGATGATGTTTCTTTTATTACATAGAGATAAGTTTAGCACATGGAGAGAGACTAGAGAAAAAAATCATTCGTTATGTCCATTCAAAAAGATATAAAGAACCAATTTTTTCTGTCTTAATAATGATTTTTATTTTCTTTTTTAGAATAATGAAAATAATAGTCATCAATTGCAAAAACAGAAACAAAAGAACAATGGATGTTTTCTTAGAATTAGAAAATAAAATTGATAAATGTAATGAATGTGTGGTACAAGTAAATGATAGTATATCAAAATTAGCTGAAGAAAATAAATCAATGAATAAATCATTACATGAACATATAAGTGAATCAGTTCGTCAACAAGCTGATATAACTACACAGGCCGACGTTTTACGGAGTCCATATACGGTCGTAAACGGTCGTATACGCCCTGTTTGTCCCCTTATACGATCGTATTTGACCGTAATACATGACTAAGTATTACGGTCGTATATCACCGTGTCGTATACGGACAAATGTAACCATATACGGTAAAATACGGAGCAATGCGGAGATCGTATACGGGCTCAATGTAGAGGAATCGTAAAAGATCGTTTTTTGTCTCAGTATATGGTCGTATTTCGCCGTATTTCTCCGTATACGGTCATAAACGACCGTGTCTGTTCGACCTGGGTAGTGAATTAAAGCCAATGAATAAATCATTAGCTACAATTGTTGATATTTTGGTGAAGAATTCTAAACAATCTTGATAGAACATGTCGTTTTTTCATTTACGACAAAATCAGGGTGACCGGACAGATCGTCGCGAGACAAAACGTTGCGGACAAAACGTCGCATGGACAAAACGTCGTGGACAAAACGTTGCGGACAAAATGTCGCGGACAAATCGTTGCAAAAAAGTTGTCGCGTGGACAAATCGTTGCATGGACAAATTGTTGCAATATTGCATATTGTTACAAATGTTTATTCAGAGGATGAATTCAAATTTTGTAATGCAAATCAATCAAAAATAATATAATAAATTAATTGTTCTCTTTTTGAAAAAATTGAATTGATATATTATTGACCGAGTCTTATTAAGCTCATTAGAGATAAAACATAGTATATTTCTTGCGGTGAATTTTTTTTCCATTTTATAAGATAAATGCGCTCATCTAATTAGAATTCTAATTAAATAAGAAGCTTAATTGGAACACTATATAATGTATAAAAAGTGCTGCTTTATATACT